CACATAAATAATAATTATCTGTTAGAACGCTCAACAATATTAATAATATGGAAATAAGGTGTTTCGTTATTAATATTACACAAACATAATAAAAATAATGCCTTGTGGGATCCTCAAGCCATTCCTACGTGTAATAGCATCCCTTAACACTCTGTCATCTACTGTAAAATCTTTCCATCTTGGTAAAACATATATAAATTGCATATATAGGGTGCAAACACTTAAGACATTGGTAGCAATTTCATTTTTTTTTAGTTTTGTGTCTAGGCTTGTTAACTGCATCTACATTGACTTTGATGTATGTCCCATCTAAGGAACTCAAACAATCTTTGAACCATTTTCTTCTATTATTTATTGCATTTTTTTTGTATGAGTTTGGGTTTTTTAAATAAAATGTATGCAATCTTAGAATATAATTCAATACAAAATAGAATTGTCTACTAATTATCTCTCTAGATTTGACCACTTTAATGTTACATAACCCTTTTTTTTTTTTGTATAATGGGCAATGATGTGGATGAAACTAATTACTAGTTTTTCTATTGACATATGTCTAGATGATTGTAACCTCCATTCTGTTTTAAGCAAATGACATAATTTTACAAAAGCTCTTTTGTTCATTCTAGTATTATCTAGACATTGTATATCACTCTAAAAAATCATTACACTTAAGTTTAACTTTTTAATACGTAACCTATCATAAGATGTTCTACCATAAGATAGTCCATATTGTTTTCTTACATTAATCTTTAATAAAGTTACAACAACAAAGCATAACACATGTAACAAAGCTTCTATCTGATTCAAATGCATCATAAGCAATGTAATCAATTGCATTTTTCTTCTTAGTGATAAACCAACCATAACTGTTTAGAAGACAAAATATTATTAAAGTTGAAAACATAATGGAAAGCAAATCTTGACATATGGTAGATGGAATCTATCAACATCATCAAATAAAATATAAATCACAAACAAAACATTGGAAGATTGGAATAAGCTAAAACAAATTAACCACAAAACAATGCATTTATATTAAAAACATAAATCCAAATCTAAACAACATCTAAAAAAATGAAAAATAAGTTCATTGAAAAGCAACATTAATTATACACAATCAATAAGAAAGTATACACACCATTTTATGTAAAAAATAAAGATAAACTTATCAAGACAAAGATTAAATGACGAATGAGGAAGCTGGAATTTTTTCAAAGAGAAAAGTAAATTCTATGAGCTGAGATTTGTTGAAATAGAAATAAAAAACGTATTGATTATTAAAACATGATGAAACATTGAATAAGGCGTTCCATATATACAAACACTATATTTGATATATAAATTATAGGCTATTTTGCTTCATGATTAAATATTAGAACGTTCATATTATTAGAACATGATCATCGAGAGAGAAAAAAATTTTAATATGGGGCAATTAAGGCGATTATAAGAAAAAATGCCTCAATTGATAATCAACGAAGACATTTTTTCATACAAATGCCTTAATCGTTTATTTATAGGCATGTTTGAAAAAGGGTAATATCATAACACTTTAATTTATGAAAATAAAAAGATTTATTTTAAATTATCAATTAAGGCATTTCAATTGGGAAAATGTCTTAAATAATTGACACAAGGATTATTTAGGGCATTTAAAGAAGAAAATGCCATATTTGATGATCATTTAAGGCCTATTTAGGGGGGAATGCCTTAAATGATCATCATTTATGGCTTTTTCATGCTAAATGCCTTAAATGATAGATTATTTAAGGCGTTTCTTCATGTCAAATGCCATTAATTGCAATATAAAAAAATTTTAACAGTAAAAACTTACAACTGAGTTACAGTTACTTTCAAATATATTTTTTAAAAAGATAAAGACTATTTTATAATTTTTTATTTAGATCAAATTTAAAAATAACGTAATTTTTTCCCTTGAAAAAATTAGAATACTAAAAGAAGAAGTGGGTTTCTAATTCCGAGATTTTGGGAACTATTAAAAATCTATCACTTTTTCCCATAATCGGATTACCTTGAATCAAATGTGAAACTCAAATACCCACTATCAAGATTCCAAAAAAAATATATATAGATTTTCTTGAATCAAACACTCCCGAAATGATTTTCATGGACATTGATTCAAATTCGACACAAGAATAAAAAAGAACAATCATTTCATTTGGCATTCTAGTTTCTAAGCAAATTTTTTGTTAACTTCAATTAACTAAATTCAAAATGAAAACTCATACTTCCAATTTTTAATTTAAATGATTAATATAATTATTTTAAAAAATAATATTTAATAAATTTAAAATTTAAATTTCAATACTTATATTTTTTAAAAATTTTAATCTACTTTTAAATATTTTTATTTTACTATTTATCTGACTAAAAAAATTAGGTGTATTAATTATTTTAAACTTACAAGCTTCAAACATCAATTTTAATAATATATCAACTTATTCACAAATCAATCGACACGTATAATATTTTTTTTATCTCAGACCTCTTTGTACAAGAAAAATGAAATTAGCTTAATCTAGCCCATGGGCTAGATATTATTATATATAATTGTTTATTAACAATTAACATCTCCAAATAAGAAATAGAAAATAAAATTGCTTTTAAAAAATAAAATAAGTAAATATTACCCAAAAAAATGCAAGAGAGGGGGAAAAATTAAGAACAAGGAGATGGCTGATGAAGGCTGAATATGCAATTATCAATTTTTTTTTAAAATTTGATAAATAACTAATGTATGTTTTATCTATTATGGATTTCACAAGTTCTTAGAACAATTCTCTTTAGATTACAGTCATGCAACACTAGTGCAAAAAAAAAAAAAAATAGTGTGCTTTAACAATCAATTGATCCCAATCCTCATTAGTCATGGATGCAATTGATGTCTCTCCATGTAAAAAAGAAGAAAAAGAAAAGAAAAGAGTTGGAGAAAATTCCATATATTTGCCTTTGGTCAGATATTCACCCCCTTTTCCCCCTTATTTATGAAGATCTCCCATTGTCGTATCGATTAAAATATATGACTAAAAATAATGAAGAACCATTCAAAGCTACTTTTTTTCTCCTTAAAAGAATTGTAAATTTCTATCCTTTGAAATAGATGCTTCCCAACTTTTAAGAGTAGAATCCTAACCAAAAGTTTAAAAATGAACTTTCGCTGTAGAAAAGAAATAAGTGAAATAAAGCTTGATCTGTAGAATATGATGAGATTGCAACTTTAGCTATGGCAAGCAAGAAAGAAAGGAAGCCCATGAATAAAATCAATGCTTTAGTTATAAATAAATTGAATATAAATGAATTTTATTATATTAAAATTTTATTTATTTAGTTAATAAATTTTAAAATATTATTCGTGATCGTTTATTAAATTATAAATAAATAAAAATTAAATATATTTATAAATTATTCGTTGAATATTCTTTAAAGCTGCAGATATCAAATATTGCCACCAAAAATTTTAGTGGAGCACTTCAGCAATTCCTTTAATCATCATATCAAGGGAGGGAAAGAAATGACTTTCTTTTTTGTTTGCTTGTCATGCATTGTACTATCAACTGATCAAACCTGATCACAAAATTTAATCCAAAAAGCAGCATATTCAAAGCTTTAATTAAGTAAACTAAAATTTTGATGACAGAAGATGTTTTAGAATAAGCCATTTTGATCACATAATTAAACTATTGTTTCTCCATAGCCATATAACAAGGTCTCACCAGATTCCCCTAACCTACCTACAAAACACATATTCCTATTCCCATTTCAATTAAATAGTGAATAAAGAAGCAAATTGTTTAGATTTGAGTGTTGACTTAATCACATTCACAAGTAGTACTATTGGAGCTACTTAACTTTGCTGCATTTTAATGTATAATTAACCATCGAAGGACTCAAAATAAAGGAAATTAAGGTTTCTCGAGCTATACGCAAACCAACTGTAGAGTTATTTTTTATGTTTAACTGCAGTTGATTCATGCATGATTAACTCTTAAGCAAAGCTGGATTCATGTGCTACTGCTCCTGGTGCAGGGGCAATGTCCACCTTGGGTATGTTGCATAATCCAAAAGTCATATTGCCTACGCAGTGATCAATCAGAAATTCAAACATGGTTAGAATACAAAAAATGTTTATCCCTATGACACCCTCAGTAGAGTTCTAATCTTCCAGGGCTTTAATCAACCACTTCTTACATGTTTATGACTCCTAAATCCAACATTATTTGTGATAGGAAATGGAATGGAGGTAATAGGTAGAAATATTTTTGTTACGGACCTTGCAATAGGCAATGTTTCTGTATCAACAAACGAGATGACCGTTTGTCATATTTACAGTTTCTGGAGTAGTGATGGATCCAAAATGTTTTTTTGAAGTGTCCACTTATAATATATATATATATATATATATATATATATATATAGATAGATAGATAGATAGATAAATTGTAAACAAATTGTTAATATTAACTAAACAATCATTCAATCAAAAACTACGGGCGAAAAGAGTGTTGAGAAAAAATTTTAAAGATACCCAAGGAAAATTTTTATTTTAAATTTTCTTGCTTTCTAATCTTTGACCCTTGAGTCTACCAGAGTTTTGGAGCACTTCCGCTTTCACTCCTCTGAAATGTCATGCAAGAATTCATAAGAAACGCCCAATTCAGCACCACTAGAATTTTTAGGCAGCTCATGCCTTAGTAGTAACAAATGACAGATATGCAACATTCATACCATGTAAAAATCTACAGCAATGAAGTTAGGCCACCAGTTGCCAGCTGCCACATGACAGTGTTCACCATGCTTATTTGATGGAGGTGAGTTGTGTTTGCAAGCTTGGATTACATCTGGCATATTGGAGACGTGTTTTTGTCAAAGACGTGTCAATGCTTCGTAGAGCAAGCGTAATGACTGTTGATATCAAGAAAAACAGTAAAAAGTAAGGGACTGCAAGCATATATTCATTAACCTCATCATTTTTGGATTAGTAGTAGAAAAGAAGCATGTCGATGTTGGTCGCAAGTCAAGATTAATGTTTAACTTTCCTGCTTAAATGAAGAATCACATGTGAACAAAAACACAAATTTCAAAACATTCCAACTAATAAGAAGGCCAGAGGGGATGCTGACTGTGACTCTTGACATGGGGCATAGGAGGCCTAAAGGATCATCTTCATGTATGCTTCTCCATTCCTTTAATTCACTTCTCTAAAGTTCGATTTTATCCTTAAATACGTTTGGGAAAGGGTTCTTAGGAGAGTTTGGAAGCCAGTTATATTTTCTTGCTACAAAAAATCACAGTTTAAGAATGGAAGATATATTGCTTTATCTTCAAGTACATCAAGGTCAAGTTGCAGTAGAAGCTTTTTACTAGAAACTGGTTCACCACAAGAAGACAGATCCGGAATGTCACGGGAACATTTCACTTCACATGTGATATTGCTAACCTGGATCTTAATTATCCATCATTCATCGTTATCTTGAACAATACTAACACAACCAGCATCACCTTCCAAGGGAAGCTGGAAAATGTAGCAGATGGTAGAGTGGTTTATCGAGCAGTGGCGAGAGCTCCTTCAGGTATGAAAGCTGTAAAACAATTAGCTTTGCAGGAAAATGCAATAAATCCAAGTTCCAACTTTCAACTCACTGTGGACATTGATGTTACAGTAGCAAGTTCCTTTCAAAGTGATTATTTTGGGAGTGATGGATTCCTGAGCTGCTACGAGGTCGACGGGAAACACGAAGTTAAACTGATAGAAGCCAGAGGCAGAGCAGATAACTGGCTGGAAATTCCATCCAACCTTAACGTTTTCTAGAAAAAATAATTGAGCAAGAAAACCATAGGATTTATTGCTCGAGATTTTAATTTACAACAGAGTTCCACGTTAGTGGTTGATCAGTTACAACGATAAGCATGAGAATTACATGGAAATTTTAACCTCCAAATCCATGCATGAAGCACATCAAAATAAAAGTGCTCCCAGCCTCTACTATCTATCACTTATGAAACGGACCTTGGAAATAAAATTCAGAAAAAAAAAAAAAAAAAAACGAGACAGAGCAGAGACCATTAGACCAAGCATTGATCAACGTAGCTCAACTGTCTGATCTATTCAAATATAAAATTAAAAAAAAATGAACGGTTTACAGGAAGGAATCAGCCTGATTCTTCTAGCTACCTGCTGCACAGAGAAATTTCCTCTTGCTTACGGGTTCTTCATGCAGGACGACAACATCCCTCACCTTGTCAAACAACTCCTCCAGCTTCTCCACACCAAGCTTTCTATAGTCCAACATTTTCTTGTACCTTTGCTGGTATATTTCTTCAAAGCAACCCAAGAAAATTCGACAAGAATAACTCACAAGAATTTCCTGCAACTCATATTTAAATTGCTCAAGATTATGGTCATCAACATCAGATCCTGCTGCTCCAAAGTTAGTCCGTCCTTCACATTCTTCAACTACCACTCTTTCCTCATCAGAAAAGCCAGCACCTGCAGCAACATCAATGCTTTCCTCCTGATTCCCCTTCCCCTTCTTATCTTTCCTTGCCAGAACCAAAGGGGGGGCACTTGGGCCTGCTTTCCAATTTCTGAGGTAGACAAATTTCTTATGACCTTTTCCCTCAATTGCCAGAGTGTCACCCATCTTTTTGAAAAGATTAACAAGTTTGAATGCCCCAAATTCTTCCACGTAAAGAGGCCTACCAAAAAACTTTTGATACTCAGCAGGAACGCGGGTAAGAGGCATGCATCCTCCTGAAAGTTCAAGCAATTTCACCAGTTGTCCCTTCAAACCATTTATGTCTCCAGGCTGTACCCACATAGTATCATTCTGATCACAAAAGCCAGGACATCCTGATGCTTCATTCAAAACAGATGGGAGACTTTGTGACCTCAAAGTTGTAGGGAAAGAAGGCATGGCTATTGAAGGGTTACTTGTATATTCAGATAAAGATTGCGACACAATTGAGAAATCTCTCGAGTTGTAATAGCTCTGTGAAACACCCCTATAAACTATTGCCTCGTCCTCATTTTGGCCATCTGGATTGTCACTAATATGGCACCCCATGAAATACCCAGCAATATCAGCTGTTCCTCCTCGAGGAGGCATTAAGGCCTTTGAGGGAGATACAAAGCCTTCCCCTCGAGCAACACTAGGCCAATCCCAAACAAATTTACCAGCATTGCTCAGCGCAGATGAAACACCCACCCCAGCAGGAATAACAAGAATGACTGTATAGCCACGTTGACCAAGTATGTGAAGTGCCGGAGCAAAATCAACATCCCCCGAAATCAGCATGATAGACGAAGGTGGAGGATTATCAAGGGCAAATAAAAACATGTCAATCAAGATAGCCTTGTCAGCAGCATCCTTCCTTCCATTTGGAACATCTATGAGTTTGACACCAGTTCTCTGACAGCCCTCCCTGAGTCTCCTGGGAAAGGCATTAAAATCGCCATATGCAGAGAACATCATAACAGCTCCTTTAATTACAGGATGCACTCGCAAAGCCATTCTAATATTCCCCGCTACATCTTCAGGGCGTACATCACTTGGGACAGGGCAGTTCTCTATATCCCAAAGGATAGCCACAGGACCATCAGAGGAGGTTCGGTTTTGCTGGTTCATAGGAGGTTGAAGCACATTCACATTTGAACCCACCATAAGAGTTCCCCTTTGTTCAGAGGATTCTGAAGGAACTAAGGATGTTGATGCATTTAGATTGGCCATCACCCTCTTTTATCAGAAAATCAACGATCAGAAACTTTATGGCAAAAAAATAATGAGAGCCAAATACAAGGAAGTCTATGAAAAGTAATCCTTAAGGCCCTTAAGGCTGAACAAAGCAAATTGTGTGTATGTCCCAGACCAATCGAATATCTGAAGAAGAAATATTAATGACCCAGTCAAGTGCCAGAATTAAGCTTGCTAAGTTGATTGCACAAACAGAATCCTACAAGATATATTTGACATAAGTTAACAATGTATAAACACAATAACTTGCAACAAGTGTTGATACAACTGAAAATTGAGAAAGCATCCAGGACCCAACAGCAGAGTTGCAAGTTATATATAAAACCAGGGATAAAAGGGTTTAGACAACGCACAAGTGCTTCCTCATAGGCCATCCACATGCAAAAAAGCAAGAAAAAGTGAGGAGGAATATAGCATTCGAATGGTTAAAACCATAAAGATTGCCATACAATTAGTAGTATAAAAGCCAAAACTTTCCAATTTATGGCAATGTTTTGTATGGTTATGAAAACTACCTACAATTTTGATGTTTTCCTTAGCATCAGTTCTAGATACTCACCACACATATCATTCCAATTACAACAGAAAATGCATTTCAAAAGGAACATAACAATATGGTGCCATAATTTACTTAGTTACCGGTCATTAAAACAGTCTTTGAATGTTCAAATGTTTATTTATAAACACTTGATAAGTAAAAGATGTCAACAACAACAATGTGAAAAATAAATGTCTTCAAAGAAAGGTCCCTTAGATGCAGGAAGCTGAATACCAAAAAAAAATTCTAAGAATTCCCAACACCAAATCAGTTTCTTAAATTTTGGGATTGAAGAACACACCACTTTCCATTAAAGTATGGCCCTAAGTTCTAAGGTTTATCAATTAAAGTTGACAAATTTTGTTCTATCACGTATTGAAGATGAGAATCCTGCACACACAACACACAACTCCTAAATTCAATCACTGAAGTCCATAGCTAGAACGAACTAAAAAGGGATTAAAAAACCCTCCAATATCTATATAAAACCCATTTTTCCCCATGATACAAAGCAACACATATACAAAAGAAACATATCCAATGATCAGTCAATCAAAAAAAAAAAGAAAAAGAAATGAAACAAGAATTAACACCAAAGATAGAGAAAAAGGTACCTTATATCTAGAACATAACACCACAAATTACGGCCCTGTACCCAAAAACCAATAATATCAGATCCTGAAACCACAAACAAACACAAAAAGATCCAATATTTCCTAAGAAAAGGACATTTATTTCAAACCCAGAAAAGGGTTTTTTTTTTTTTGTTTTTGGTCAATCAAACCCAGAAACGTTGAATAAAAAACTAGGTTCACTTCAAGAGAGGAAAGAAGAAACCAGGGGGAAAAGGAAGGTGCTTTCCTTAATGGGTTTATCTTATTTAGAAAAATGAAAGAGAAAATGAAATAATCTAACAAAACTGAGAATCAGAGAGTTTTAAGAAATGGAGAGAGAAATTACAAGATCATAGCTTTGGAGGAACTGGTTGCTTAAGAGTACAGCTACTGTTTTTGCGTATAGATAGATTTGGGTTTTTCGTAAGTCGTTTTGATTTTTATTTTGTTTTTTGGAAAGACAATCCCAAACACTTCGAAGGAAATAAAACATAAGAATCGTGCGTACGGAGTTGTTTGTCTTGTTTCTTGGACGGCTAGATTTTGTTCTTGTAAGAACTCGTGTAAGTTCTTAACCCCTTTGCATCAGTACTAGCTAGGTCAGTGTAATTAATATTATCGCTTAAATATTAAGGTACTATAGTTGTTGCATTCTATTGTATAAATCTTATATAATAATAATAAATTAATCGATGCCATTTTATTAATAATTAAATATATATTTTTATATATTTTTAAAATAAAATTTTAAAAAAAAAATTATTAACAGGATATCATTGTTTGATTTACTAATTATATATAAAATTTATATACAAATAATATATCAAATATAAACTCAAAAACTAAATCTAAAAAATAATAATAAATGATAAAAAAATATAACAATCTGATCATATAATTTCAAAAAAAGTTTTATTTCAAGAAAAAATAAAATAATATAGAATAATTTATATATTTATATTATAATTTTATATTAAATACGTGTAAAGTATTAAAATTATTATATTTCATTCATGAAATATTATTTTTTATTTTTATTAAACTAATATATAATTTTGTGAAAAAAAAATCCTTATAATTTTTTATTTTTATATTACATCACCGTGTTTAAAATGCTCTCCCCGCTGCCCTTTACCTACCTCATAGATGAAACGAAAGAAAAGGCAAAGCTCAGCACAGGATGCTTTAATAATGCAGCACTATAATTCTGTCAAATCTTGCATCCCATCTTGAACAAGACATTGCTATCTTAATCTTGAAAAGCCCTTTAGTATATAAAAGAGAATCTGAGGATTTGCATTGATAGAACAGATTAAAGCTTTAAGACTCCATCCAGTTTCACTGGAAAAAAGGACGACTGTGAACCAAAGGGATCATTCCAACCATTTCGAAGCTACAGTGGCAATAGAAACTAGCAAGATACAACTAAAAGGATGTACAATGTATGTACCGAAAATTCAATTAACGTATATAAGCAAGAAAAGCTGAAACCTTTACTGGACATTCCAGTTATGCACTGTATCATTGTTTATGACTTCAGAACCCTCTCTATGGCAGCTATATAAAAGTCCTTTGGCATGGTACCAACAACAGACTCCTGCTTCTGTCCATTTTTGAACAGCAAGACCACCGGTACAGCCTTAATTTCATAATCCTCTGCAATTGGTAAGTCATTGTCGGTGTTGAGCACGAAGCAGGTAAGTCTCCCGGCATACGCTCCTGCGATCTCATCAATAATTCGGTGGACCATCCTACAGGGGCCACACCAGCTTGCATAAAATTCGACAAGAACAGGGGTGTTGTTGTTCAATATCAATTTATCCCATGTGTCTTTAGTAACCACTGCAGCTGCACATATTCAACAAAACATGGTCAATTTGGCTCTCAAATGTTCTATACGATCATCACTAAGATATCAGCACAACTCAACAAGAAGAAACGAGAAGCAATGCACTAAATCTACACACACAAGCTTTGCAAAACTCAATTTGCTCTTAATACTGAAGCAGCGGTAGATCCTCACATCTGAGAGACAATGAAACACCTTGTTCAAATCTATTAGTCATTTCTTCCAGCTTCTAAAGCCTAGAAAATAACTCAGACATCCTGAATGCAAAAGCTATATTCCAAGCTGCTGGTAATATCTTATTGGTTCGACCACTACAAGACATGAGAAAACATTGATCACCCCTGACATATGCAATTATGAGGTTTACAATGACAATTCACCATCTCACCTTTCCAAAATACCTTCTCTTCTTTTCAGTCTATTATTTCAAACTTAAATTTTAGTTAGAAGGACTAGCACTCACTGAAGAAATGGAACAAAAGAACCCCTTTCTTCTTTCCAGAGCACTAGCAATAAAGATTTGTGTTGCCAGACACCTCTACCAAAAAGTTTTTCAGCTGATAGATCACATTCATTTTACAAAAGAATCAGCTTTGAAAACTTAAAAACTCACATATAATTATATAGTAACCGTCACACCATGTGAAAATTACCCTGAGGTCTAATCTTCGAGGACACAGAACAACAAATCTTAATGAATTCGCTCGAACCTACACATTTCCAAATTGAATAAAATCAGTCAAATTGCTCTTTCGATTGCTTCTGCTTGTAGATCCAGTATCAGATTCATCCAGCCAAAGTCACATAGAGACAGAAAATATCTAAATAACCACCCTAAATAATTGGTCCTAAAGAAAAAGAAACCAATCTAGAATTATCAAATATCTCACAGACAGAAGTTCACCATCCCACTTTTCCAGACTTTATTTCTAATCTTTCCAAAGCATCAAAATATCAAAGGAACATTAACACTTTGCCCGGAAACTGCATTACTTGGCATCTTAGGATCATCTTATTTCCAACCAAAACACCAAATATGGGAAAAAGTGATTAGCCACGCTCACAATTTTAAATCAATCCTTTAGTGAGGGTTCATATCCAACGTTTTAACACTCGTTTCAAAGCACCAAACCTTCAAAGTCAAACTATTTCCTAGACTTGGTCGGTAATTGCTACAACTACGATCAACTGAATAGTTTAAACACAGACATTTACACAGCCCTTTTGATTGCTTTAAGCAAATTATTACAAATTCCCGGAAAATTTTGGGCTGTTTTCTTTTTTCTGGGAAACCAAACAATCAAACTTCACTGGATAAGCCACTATCAATAACATCCCAAAAAATTAAACTCGAGTAAAATAGTAAAGTAGAATAAGATCAAATCAAAACCCACCATTTAGAACGGTATTAAATAATCGAACAAAGAGAAAGAGATTACCTTTGGGTTCACGGGCAGAGAGGGCCTGGAGAGTGAGAGGAGGTGCATTACGAAGCTTAAGGGATCCATTTTTCAAAGGAAAGAAGACCTTTGAAGAGTTAAGCTTAAAGCTCAAGTGAGAAGAAATGGCGCGTGGGTGTGCACTTGTTAAAGAAAAACGAGACGGGCAAAACGACGAAGAAGAAGCCATTGAAGAGACAAAGAAAGAAAAAGAGAGAAGTTTCAGTTGAGTGGAATCGGATGCCTTGTATGATAAAGTGGGGTTTTGGCAGATTTCTGATTTATTTTGATCAGTCGCCACAATCAGTGTACCAGAAATGAAAAATCCAAAGAAATCAAGGGAAATGTAGCCGCCACATAAGTGACGAGAAAACCCAAGGAATCAAGAGAAATGCGGAGAAAAACATACCAGGACGAAAGGTGTGGTTTGGTTTGTTGGATTGTGACGGTGTCTGTTTGGTGGTGAGTGATGGGTCCGAACAGGCCCAGCGTCAAAAAATCCGAAAGGTGTGGTTTGTTCGGTAGTGACAATGTCTGTTTGGCGGCGATGGATCCAAATAGGCCCAGGGTAAAAAAATGTGGTTTGTTCGATAGTGATAGTGTCTGCTTTGGTGGAGATGGGTCCAAATAGGCCCAGGGTAAAAAAATGTGGTTTGTTCGATAGTGATAGTGTCTGCTTGGTGGAGATGGGTCCAAATAGGCCCAGCATAAAAAATATTCGTTATGCACACCCGGTGGGACTCGAACCCACAATCGCTTGATTAGAAGTCAAGCGCCTTATCCATTAGGCCACGGGTGCTCGATTTATTTGTTCTAGAACTTTTTTTCTTATATCCATGCTCTTTAAGCTTACCACCACGTCCTAACAGACCTGAAACTAGGAATCAGATAAAGGAATTCTCTTATGCACAAATAAATGAGCACATCTCCACATGTTATCTGCCGAATTTTTGGAAAACAAGCTGGCACATCAAGGTCATCTTGGAAGGAAACTGAGGCTAGTAAGCAAGAATAGGTATCACGAATCGAAACTTAAGTTTCAATCTGCATTGCTTCAAGATTTGAGCATACATTCATTCAATGTCTCAGATCAGTTTTTTTATCACGGTTCATATTTTTATAAGGTATTATCCGCTTTGGTCCTATCCAACCTTGTGACATCTTCGTTAAAGAGACTTAGCCACCCTGCCTACCTTCCTTGAGGCGTTTAGCATGGATCGAACGGTTTAGAACTAGCTTTGATACCATTTGTCAGTGATCGAGACTTAAGCTCTGACCCGCGCAGCTCTAGGTGTGGACATACACTTATCCGGTGTCTTAAATCAGCTTTCTTATCACGATTCACATTCTTATGAAGTATTATCCGTTCTAATCCGTTGGTCTCACGGTTTTATCGTACAAAATCGTCTCATAAGGGAGAGATGATATGAATTTTTTTATACTCCAGTAACTCTCCTTTTATGTTCGACATGAGATTCAAAATTACTTCTTTAAGTCCATGACATAGGCACATGCATGGCACCACAAGCATGAAGAACATAAACTTGTTCTTGACTTCAATGAAAGACACTGAAGAGTTACAAAAGTTGACAGCATTTGAACATTTGAAACAATGCTTTAATGATTATCAGCTGCATGCATTTGGCTACATTACATTCTTATACAGATTTTTATTACAGTATCTTTCCTGTTTTTCAATTTTTTTTTTATGGGTTGGGAGAGGAGTGATTATGCAAGTTAATGATTATGATTACATTCTAAATACACCATATTTGGTATCTTCTCATGGGCGATTCAGGGATGCAGAGCCCAATAATTTTCCTGGTATCAGCAGGATTAATAATACCATCATCCCAGAGCCTAGCTGTGGAGTAATATGGATTTCCTTCTCTCTCACATGCCTTCACAACCTTAGCCTTGAACTTCTTCTTTTGTCCACTGGAATACAAGAATGTGCAAGCACAGGGAAATAAGCATCTGTTCATAACTGCCTGGATACAATAGAAGAATAATCATCATTCACTCCTTGAGAAGAAGCTTAGTTTACCTGAATTCCTTGCCTTTTCTTGTTGGCCCCTTCAATTTGAGACAGCACACCAGCAGCCTAATTGTTTGCAGGAATAATTCAGTATATGATATGATCAGCCAAAACTCAGAAAGTTCAAGTAAACAAAACTAAGAAAATGTTTTAACAGATATCTGCATAACTATTAAACTATCTGGCTACATAAGCATAAGGAATAGCATTCATGACATGAATGAAATAATTTATCATAATTTCAATGTACACTTCCATTCATGCTTAGATAGACAAAGAGAAAGAATCCTACTAATTCAGAAGGTAAGCCACACCCATGATGAAATTCCAAGGTATATTGTACACGAAGATAGGACGACAGAAATGCTACTTTTAATATTAGGATAGACTTCTCTATTCTTCTTTAAACCCAGGAAATCATATATTGTTGGCACATAGATCATATGTAAGAAAGTATTGATTTACCTGTGCACCGCCCATCACAGATATTCTTGAATTGGGCCAAAGGAACAGGAAATTTGGGTTAAAAGCACAACCACACATGGCATAATTTCCAGCACCAAAACTTCCACCGATCATAATAGTCACTTTTGGTACCTGTAAAATCATCATTCAAGAAAGATGTTGAGGAAAAAGTTACAAATGCGTGTCTGTTGTTTGTGTCCATGTGCCTGATGATTGTACATCAAAATGGATGATGGAACATAATTATACAAATAAGGAGGTGAAAGAAATTAATGCAATTTGCTCATATAGGGATCAATCATTGTATATCATAAGAATAGCACAGAGAACCGATAAACAATGTTGGAAGACGCTATGTACCTTTGCACAAGAAACTGCCATCACCAATTTTGCTTCAGATTTTGCAATACCATTTGCCTCAGATCTTGAGCCAACCTAGTAGTTCAAAATAACCAGTATAGTTAGACAGTGCTATTAGCTCCATCAACTTCAGAGCAAAAAAGAGGGATAAACAATAGTTGACAAAATTCAGTCATTTCAAACCAGCTACATATATTCTACTAAATCAGTTTGATGAGCAACACTCTGCATGAATCATGAATACAAGGACACAACACACTAGAAAGGTTCATCATGAAAGCAATGGAAGGAAAGTGTGTGATCATGTACCATAAACCCAGTGATGTTCTGAAGAAAGACCAAAGGAATGTTACGTTGAGGACAAAGTTCAATGAAATGGGTACCTTTAAGTGCAGATTCGTTAAATAATATCCCATTATTACCAAGGATCCCCACAGGTTGTCCGAAAATTCTAGCGAAACCTGTGACAATTGTCTGCACCAACATAATCAAGGTTAGACGGTTAATGCATACTATAAGGAAAAAACAAATTTTAAAATCCAAGAGATATACAAGTCCTCACAGTTCCATACAGTTTCTTGAACTCATCAAATTCACTTCCATCTATAATATGACCAATAACTGATTGGACATCAAATTGCTGCTTGTGGTCTACTGGTGCAATTGTACGAAGTTCCTTCCCATCATATAATGGTTCTTTATATTCAAGGTTTACGCTAGGAGATGCATTCAACAGCCCTTGTTTCCCAGCAAAGTGCAAGTTTTTGATAATATTCCTCCCAAGAGCAAGTCCATGCATTTCATCTATAGAAAGATCAAAAAAAAAAAATCCTGACATAATGCTAAATTGAGAGATTCCGACAGTGGTAAACGAGGATAAAGAAACAATACCTTGAGCAAAATAATCTGAAACCCCTGAGGTCTTACAATGAACGGTAGCACCCCCAAAATCCTCCGCAGACACTTCCTCTCCTGTAGCAGCCTGCCAAAACTTCCCTTTTAAGTATTATCTAATCTAAAAACATTGGAACAGATAAGTGCAAGGAAACTAACCTTGACAAGAGGTGGTCCGGCTAGAAAAATGGTACCATTTCCTTTAACCATTACACTTTCATCAGCCATGGCAGGAATATAGGCACCCCCAAAAGTACAAGACCCTAATACCAACGCAATTTGAGGAATGCCTTGAGCAGACATGGTAGCTTGATTATAAAAAATTCTACCAAAATTTTCCTTGTCTGGAAACACCACAGCTTGCTTTGGAAGGAAAGCCCCTCCACTATCAACTAGATAAATGCAAGGTAATTTGCATCGAGCAGCAATTTCTTGTGCCCTAAGATGTTTCTTAATGATAATGGGATAGTAAGTTCCTCCCTTAACAGTTGGGTCATTAGCCACAAACGTACAAAGTCTTCCATGAACTGGACCAACGCCAGTTATTATTCCACCTGATGGTAAAGGGTCTTCGTATAATTCAAGCCCCGCAAGCTTTTTACATTAAATGTTCAATAAGGAAGCAGAAAACACCCGAAGGAAAAAAAAAAAAAAAAAAAAGCTATTACCCAGTTTAAAAACGAAGAAATGGCAAAAACAACCTGAGACAATTCAGGGAAGGAAGAACCAGGATCAAGAAGACGATCGATTCGTTCCCTAGGGAGAAGCTTATTTCTGCTCCTGTTCCTCTTCACAGCAGTTTCTCCTCCTCCAGCAAGAGCCTTAAATCACTTTTTAAGTACGAGCTTCTTTTGAGAGAAGAATTGAATATACATTTTTGTAGGGGAAGAGGGAGGAACCTTGTTGATTTGGGATTGGAGTTCAGACAAGAGACGTTCCATGGCGTCGGAATTTTGGGCAAAAGTGTCGGAGTTTCGGTCGATTCCATCAGGAAGGACTCCTATGGAGAAGTACTTTGTTTGGAAACGTTGGATTGGATTAGCTAATATACATGGGGCTGAATTTACACTTCAAGAAGCTGAAACTGAAGCTGAAGCTGTTTTCCTCACCAAAGCCCTTAGCATTTCTCTCTTTTTTCTTTTAAATTGTCAAAAAAAAATCAGAATTTGATGAAAAGTTTTGTCGTCTTCGCTGGCTTTGCATGTAATTCATACCCATTTCCTCTCTGGATCCTAAAAAGGCAGCGTTCTACCGACTCCCCACCGTTGGGCCACTTTGGGAGTTTGGGTGCAGCGGATAAGATAAAAGCGTCAATTTTCATGCTTTCAAGTGTGTTTCGCTTTACACACTACAGGATTGCGAGAAATGGAGAGTTTGTCGTGTATGTTGAAACTAGCAGCTCCTACGAGGTTATTTGCTTCTGGCTCTGCTACGTTTCTATCTAGCTTGGTGTTTCCTTCATCTATGGACTATCAGCTTCCAAGAATAACTGCAAAACGGTCATTAATTAGTTTTTCGAGTTTTGATGTATGAATTTAAAAAATTGTTATCTTTGTTGTTCTTTTTATGTGGATGGATAGGCTTTGGTTCCAATTGGATTTGGTACAGAGGAAATGCAAGCTTTTACATTGGTTGATGTTCTGAGCCAAGCTGGGGCGGAGGTGACGGTGGCTTCAGTGGAACCGCAGCTTGAGATTCAAGCATCGGGAGGCACTAGATTGGTTGTTGATACCACAATCTCCAGATGTTCTAATCAAGTTTTTGATCTCGTGACATTGCCAGTTAGTTGTTCAAACCTTTGATTTCATGTTTACTTAAAGGTATAATGTCACTATGATTGCCTATTCATATATTGTCATTTGTCACAAGTAAAGAACTGTGGGGTGTGTATTCATTTGTTGTGACAATGAACATAGGCATTTGGTTTAGGGGTGTCAAAGGAAACAGTAATACTGTGGAATTATAGTTTTGAGATTCTCCTACAGAATCCACATACATATGGGATTAATGCGGCACTTTTTCATTTTGAGAATATGACTGCTTCCCCCAATTTGTAATTTTACTGACCAATGTCCAATTTATTGACTTGTTGCTGATATTTCTTCCGGTAAATTGTTTGTACTATATAGTTCATGTAGCAATTGATGTTTGTGTACTATTTGAAGGGAGGAATGCCTAGATCGGCATGATTAAGAGATTGTGAAATTCTTAAGAAGATTACAAGCAAACAAGCTGAGGAAAAAAGGCCGTATGGAGGTATATCTACTGCTCCATCAATCACACTTCTCCCTTGGGGACTGTTGAGGAGGAAGTGGGTGAGTACTGGTTTATATTAAAATCTGTGTTTGGTGCATATCATTGTATTTTTTATTGCTAGGTTTGATGTAGTTTGTCATGCAAGACAACTTGCCACCCTGCATTCTAGGACCAGCTTCCAATCTTCTGGGCTGTCAAATCAAATATTCTAGTTTCAGGAGAGCTTACAACAAGCCAAGGCCCCGGAACTTCTTTTTTGTTTTTTTCTGGCCTTAGTAGAACAGCTTTTGGGAGAGTCTGTGGCCATAGAGATTGGAGAATTATTGGTAAATCCTTTTACTCTGTTGTTTTCATAAGTCTCGCTATGGTACTTCACCCTTTATTGTTTGATCCACTTATCCACCATGATAGACATTCACATTCGTTCATACTCATGGGAGGATGTGGGCTTTATGTATTTTGCTTTCTTTTTGAGCTCCTAACAAGACTCCGTCTGCAATGAGTTCTCAACTCCAAACCATTTTTCCCCCAACGAAGGACAATAGCATGCATTTCACTCTGTACGATTACTTTTTTCCAGTTCATGCATTCTGCTGACGATAAACCGAGAAAGGAAGAGTTCAACAAAGTTGACTGGGCTGTTGGTCACACTCCTCACGTGAGTTATTACTACTAGCTTCAGTTGAATACTTACTATGTTGGTACTCTGGCTTTGCTCGTGACAACGGGCAAGTACTTGTGTATCTTTATTACAAGTTCATACGGTACATTTGTTTTAGCCATATGTTTCGTCCCCCACATACCTTTGTCAAAATGTTTTTAGCAGGTTCTAGTTCCTGTTGTAAATGGTTCAGAGGAGACTGAAGTAGTTACTGTCATAGACATTCTACGCCGAGCAAAGGTGGATGTTGTGGTTGCTTCAGTTGAAAAATCAGTTAAGGTTTTGGCATCTCAGGGTGTAAAAATCATTGCTGACAAGTTAATTGGTGATGCGGCAGGGTCAATATATGATTTAATCATTCTTCCCGTGAGATAAACAACTGCTCTTTTAATACAAATAGTGTTGGACGCATTGTCCCAATATAAAATTGGGATTAAGGACTTCTCATATTTTATTTAGTATCCTTTTACATATACTTACATGTACTAACATTCCGTATGTCAATCTACATGAGACTAACACTGTTAAATGAGGATGATGACATGGCTGTCAACCAATCAAATAATGACACTTGGCATAATAATTGTGCTGCATCATCCATAGAAATTGTTTTAATTTGCACATGTGGATGCCGAAGTGTCATAATTTTTAAAAATATGAAAAAAATTCAAAATAAAATTTTTATTTTGAAAAATAAAAAAACTAAAACCAAAAAAGTAAATAATTCAAAACCCTTTGTTTTTAAAAATAAAAAAAAATGAAAACATTTAAAACATAAATTTTATATTTGAAAAATAAAAGTATAAATTTTATGAAATAATATTTATTTTTAAAAATAGAAATAATTTTTTATTGACATTTGAAATGGTGTTAGTGTCACATTACACACTTTAGAAGTAAATGTATCACATAATAAATTTCTTAAAAGTACAGTGACCGAATATGACATTAACTCTTTTATTTTTTATTCTAACCTGTATCTTTGAATGGTGAAAATGTTTAGTTTATTTTTAACTTGCAGGGAGGAGTTGCTGGTGCTGAACGGCTACAGAAATCTAGGATTCTCAAGAAGTTGCTTGAATAACAAGATGCGGCTGGAAGAATATGTGGAGCAGTTTGCTCTTCTCTCAGTCCTGCAGAAACATGGTCTGCTGAAGGTCAAGACTCAGAAGACAAATTATTTAACATTTTCCTGCCTATTAAATAGTAACTATCCTATGGCAACACTGATAACCTCTGCCAAGTACAGGAAAAGAAAGCCACTGCTCATCCTTCTACCACAAGGGAACTCACCAATGCAGTAGATGGTCCCGAAGTAGTTATTGACGGTAAACTGATCACAAGAAGGGGACTCGCTACTGTTTCATATTTCGCATTGGCTTGTGAGCAAGTTTTTTGGCCATGCAAGGGCTAGAAGTGTTGCAGAAGGCCTTGTTTTTGAGTACCCCAGGAGTTTGAAGATCTAATTTTGAGTCATACCAGAAAGAATGGCAATTTTTCCAGATGCCATTAAGATATAAACATAAGGTTGTAATCCCTCAACTTTGACAGCTAGTGGAAGGAGAAACCATCACAAAAACATGCTCAGCCAAATCCTAAACGCTTCATATTACTTAGTGCTTTTCTTCTGCAAGTATCCTTCACTTTTTGTGTATATCCCATGCCATAAACAGAAGTCACACCTGCCTGTGAGGAGCTGCTACTAAATCTTCAAATATCTATCAACGTGGCAAACCAAGCTACAGGTAATTTGATATTTCACAGAACCTACAAGAAGTAAAGGCCTGATATGTTAATGAGTTCTGGTACTTAAAAATTCAAATCTCCTTTCAAAAATGTAGACCATGGGTGTGGCCTGACGTGAACTACAAATTGCAATTGCAGGTAGGCCTTTTCCGGGAATCCAGATAGTGTAATATTTTGGGTGGGGGAGATGAGGGGAATAAGGCTGCAGATTCTCCACTGTTATATTATTGTTCAACTCTCTTAAACAGGATGAAACATGTTAAGGGTCTAATCTGACTATGATATCCCATGTTTTAGGAGCAAACATCATGTTTTTGTGCAGTCATTTTCTTCCATAGCTTCCTGTAGTCTCCTACGCAAAGAATTATAAAAGCAGTAGATGAGGCATCCACGTATGTGTGGCGGGATAAAGGGGTTCTGATGGATAAGGCTGGGATTATTGCTATCCGTTGAGTACGGGATTAGAACATGTCTCGGATCAAGACAAAAATTTAATGGCATTTTCTGTTTGACTTTACGAAACCTAAGCGTGCACGGTTTGTGTTCTTTATCAAGGTTGTTCTAGAAAACGTAAACTAAAAAATATCATAATCAATGAAGTGGCTTCTATAAAAATTAAAAAAAAAAAAAAAAAACTAAAAAATCAATGGAACAATTGGTTTTTTTTTTTTTTTTTCATTCAAGCGCACGGAGTCACCAGAAAAAAAAAATGGCAATTCCCCAATGGTCTATGTAGACATGATAATTTCAGGTATAACATGTTGAATTTGATACGAAAATTATATAAGAAGATATGTGAGAATGTAAAAATTTAAAATTTTAACCAAAAAAATATATTTACACAAATTATCGTATGATGATTTTTATATTTTACATATTAGAAACAAAATAAACAAATTTATATACACAAAATCTAAATATGATAAACAAACACTACATAAAAGGACTATACATATGATACACAAACACTACATAAATGGTGTATAAAGATTTCACGACCTAGGATTGTTTCTTACAACATGCAAACAGAGAGACATGTCATATTTAGAAGTAAAATCTGATGAAGGTTAGAGACTAACCAAGTTTTTGGGTAGAGTGTAAAAACATATTGGAGTATACATTCAAGTATCCTACATGCGTGCCTTTATTGTCAAGGTTAAATCATGATAGGCAAACAAGGCAATAAGAAATCTTATCTACAGAGTGAAACTGATGGTATTAAGTTCATAATTTACAACTCAAAACCCTTTGTTCCCATACATACAGCTACCTACCCCCTCTGCAGTATCAAGATACAGATAATAGATGCACACTGCAATCCTTGTACCATACAACTGGCCAAGATTGTGCATCTAAGTAACATTCCAACTCTACCAAGGGCCTGTCAGTGTTCTTCTCAAGCATTGTCTTTTACCTCCCCGTGGTCGTTTCAGAGTCTCTAACATCTGTTCGAATTGGGCAGCAGAGAGCAGAAGGAAATCAGCACTATCGTCTAACCCTTGGTACAAATTCAACTGAAAGTTTGTAACTCATCTTCGACTCTTTAATCAAGAGATTTCTATTCAGCATGTGTCAGACTAGGTAATTAACAGGTTGCCATCCACTTTTTGATTTGATACGGTCGACTAATTGTTAGCATAAAAAAAGGTACAAGAGAAAAGCAAAAGCCGGAAAGGAGATGATGAAGCCAGAAAAAAAAACTTGATTTCAAATTGAGCACGTCTATAACTTCTATTAACTATATATAATAGGAAGGTTCTGAGAGGGTACTGTACTATACCAAGTGTGCTGAAACATCCTAAAACAGGATAAGATTTCCATGAATATCCATAAAACATTATTATACTATGGCTTGCAAAATTCTTTAGGCTTTGGAACCCATCTAAAAGCTAGTTGCTGCTTATGAATGCTAATATAATGCAAGGTGGAAATGGAAGAAATGTGCATTACCTGATTTTTCTTCAATTCCATCATTTCATCCTGCACCAACCAAGGTACAGTCAAGGAGGGCCATCCACCCAACGTTTCCAATAAAACACAAAGAATCTTAGTCAGCATACAGTACTTACCTGTTTCCTCTGCAATTCTCGGTTCATTTCTTTAAGTTTTGCAACTTCAACTTCAAGTTCCAATGTATATGCCTGCCAGAAACTCAGAACAGTAAATACAGTCAGTTGTTTTTATACTTGGAGCGAAACTACAAATTCAACAATGATCAATACAGCTTATACTTCTGTAGTACTTTTCTTTTTAGATTAAGGAACTTTTAGGATCACCAAGAGATTTAGCATTCAAACAATTTAAACACAATAATTTTAAATTTGCATATGATTTATGTGATTCATTTGATGTGCCAACAAGAAACCATTCCAAACCACTATTTTCACACAATCAATGCAACGGCATCGTCCTAAACCTTATAAGTGGCATGTTTTTAACAAGTAACAAACTTAAAACTAACAAACTTTTTAAACAAGTATCCCACATAAATAAGCTTGAATCAATACGTGGAACGAAATAGAATACGATTACTGAGAAGGAAAGAAAAAGTGTAGTGAATCAATCACCCAACTCACCTGCTTGCGAGCTCGTGATCTTGCAGCTGATTCTCTGTTCTTAATCATTCTCTTTTGCCTTCTCTCAACTACTTTCTCCAAAGCGACACTGCATTTTCTTCCCCGGCCAAATACATAAGGAACTGGTGACAAAGAAGTGGTATCTACGCTGTTCTTTGAAATCACATCTGAAGATATCTGGCTTGCAGGAGATCCTAAACCAACTATACCCATCCCACCACTCTGCAGCCCAGTAGACTGAACTAGCTTAGTATTCATGGAAGGGTCATCAATTACAACCACTGACCTAGCTCCCGGACTAGCAAGCTGTGTAGTGTTCATTAAGTGCATAGAGGGAGCAAATGCAACTGTTTGTTGCTTGGGAAAGAGTGGCTCTGGTGGCTGCTGCAGCTGATGCTGTGGTTGTTGTTGTTGTTTTTGCTGCTGCAGGTGTGATGATTTGACTCCACTCGTGTTTAATGGTGACCTTGAAGGCTGATTAAGAACTGAGTTATTGTTACTCCAAAAACCATTGTTTCCATTTGTCTGTTGAAACCCAAGAGCCATACCAGAGTTGTTACCAAAGAATCCACTATTATTTGGCACTCCAATCTGTTGCATACCTTCTCTTACTACACCTGCCCTCACCAAGAACTCCTCCAAAGTCATCTCTCCGAAAGTCTGTTGCCTCTGTGGCAAATTTGCTCCTCCACCACTGCTTCCGTCTTTAGCACCATCATTTTCTTTCATCAAGTCTCTCCATACTTCATCAACCGTTTTTTGACTTAGAGTCCGTGGCAATGTTAATGATCCTTGCCTCTTCAAATTGCCACCAGAAACACCATCTTCTCCTCCAGGAACTGAAGCTGTCATCATAGCCTGAGTCTCTTCAGCAGTTGATATGTTTTTCAAGAGTTCGTCCATGTTCATTGATCCAAAGTCCTTGCCAAGTCCACCAAATGTGTTCTGCAGCTCATCAAAGGTCAATGAATATATGGATGACTGCCTAGCCAATGGAAAATTGCCAGGTGGCTCTGACCAGTTTCCTTCCATACTTGGAGCATCAACAAAGTTCTTGAAATTCAGATGAGATCCCATTTCTTGTTTTCAACAGCACCAAACAAAGATGACCTCAATTCAAGTTGCCCTATAAATCCATCAACTGAAGTAGATGAGATGATTATGTCATTCACTTTCCCTTTTATAACTTGGATCGAATAAATGTTCACCAAAGCTAGCAAAGCGTAAGTCAACCATGCATAATATTCTCACTATTTTCCAGTTAATGGCATACTTGTTAATTCCAATTCCATTAAACCATAGATATCTAACTAGCAATATATTCATAACTATCCATCACAACATTGAAAACATAAAAAAACAAAAAAATAAAATAAAATGAGGAAGTAACAGATTAGAAAATATGGGAACCAATAAAGAAGAACACTTTTATGTTAAATCTATAAATTTTAAGGGTCTCTAAAAACTAGTACGAAACATACAATCGTACACAAAACCAAACAAATTGTCCTGCAAATGCATCCAAATTATGCGGCTAATAAGGGATAAGCTGAAAATATTTTTGGAAAGCCCAGATCCAAAAAAAATAAAAGGAAAGAAAACAATTTTGGAGCTGGAAACTAATCAACAGCTGACAAGTGTCAAACTGCCATTCCTCAGAATAGTAGAAAACCTTCATATCCAGAAAACAGCACAAAAATTGAAGCTTTAACAGAATCTAAAAACAACCCATTATTCCAAATCATAAAACATATCAACAGCATATAACATCAAGAAAAATTCAATCCGAGTAACGAAAAAAAATCAACTGTAAAAATAAGAAAAAGACAAAAAAAGAAATTGAAAATGAAAAAAAAAAAGACAGTAGATAACAAAGAAAGAGAGAGAAAGAGGAAGGAAGAGAAAAAAAGATAGAGACACTTTCTTTACCTTTTATTTTTTTTTCCAGCATTTAATTTTTGATAAACCAAAAAAATAAAATAAAATTTGTTGAAAATCGAGAGAGAAAGAGAGAGCGGCTGTGTCGTTTCTCTGAAGAGAAAGAGGGAGGCTTTAGCTGTATGGAGGCGACAAGTGTCTAGTGTCGCCTCGACACGGGTCGATATTTAAGGAGCTTCTCCGATTTTAGTGGATTTAATTGTAATTTTCTTTACCATTGTTTGTTCTTTTTTATTTTGTATTATAATTGTTACGTGGAGGCCTGTTAGCCGCGGAATCGCTGAACGTGGACCAGTAGAAATGTGATTGAAACTTTGATGTGACATCTGGCCAATGGGAAAGAGAAAGATGGGATATTCAGAGCCGTCAGATCTCCTTTCCGTCAAGGTGATGAAATTTGTACGATCGCGTGAGATAAAGCATATTTTACATGATTTTCATTTTCTTCCTTTTTCTTTTATTGCTAATTTATTAAATTATTATCTTGAAAATTAGTAAAATAAAGTTCAAAATTTTTGAAGAAAAATCATATTTTGTCACATAACTTATAATTAAACACACTTATGGTATATAATAAAATAATATTATCGACCCATGCATAAAATTACTACATTGTAGTATAACAAAATGAGATGTATTTTGCAAACTTGTTGATTTTATTCTCGAGTTTTGCAAATTAGCATAAATTTCAATAATTTTTTTATATACGATTATAGTTTTATATAATAATATACATTATCAATAAGTGATTGATTTAATTGATTAAAATTTATTTTTTTTATAAAAAAATTTTGAGTTCAAGTTTTATTGATAATTATTTATTGAGATTATTTCGAATATACGACTTGCAATAACCTATTTTAGGTTATCAGATATGACACATTTTATTTTCATTTAAAAAATTGAACAACTTATCTATTTTAAATTTTTTCTTACAAAAAAAATAATATGTATTAAATAGATTTTATAACTATGGTACGATATAATATAGCTGGTATGACTCTTGTGTAATTGTGTACAAATTTCACTTTATTCGTACATATTTGATTATAATGTACCAAAAATACATATTTACTTAAACCCTAATCTAATTTATATTTGAATAATAAAAATTTAAATTATGATAATTTTAAATAATAAAGAAATAAATTTTTTTGGATGTGGTGAGTAATGTCATTTAACCTAATAGTGAAAAGCTTTTTTTATAGCACTAAATCACGCATCTAAATATGTTTTTACGTACTTAATTAATAACCTTTTTCAATCTTAAATTAAAAATATTCTTTGAAAGAGTTGAACCAAAATTTTTTATGTTGGATTTAACAAAATTATAAAAATGATTTTTTTATAATTTTTTAAAGAGTTCAAATTTAAATAACAAAAAAATATATTTTGACCACTTGAATTAATTGTTTAGTAATATATATGCATATAAATCTAAAAAAATGAATTCCAATGGAATATATAGGTTTCATGACCATTAGACTTAACAATTCGTATTTTTGTATTATATTTCTATTATGTTTGACATGTATAATGACATAAATTATTAAAATATAAACATAACATGAATTATAAAACGTATTTAAATCTTAAATATGAACATAACACATTTAATATACATGTTACATGTGATATAATATGATTAATACGTGTATAATTTATTCGTTTAAAAATGATACGAATAAATATGAATAAAACGGATATATATGAATAAACACGATTAATATGAATATATATGAATAGACAAAACTAATACATATATATACAAAAATACAATTAAAATAATAAATAACTATAAATTGTATATTATCTATAATTTAATAAAGTTGGCATATTAATAATATAAAAAAATACTTACATATTAAAAAAATAAAAAAAATTTAATACTCGTTTAATATGTATTTAATATATGTATATTTAAATTTTAATTTATATTACATAACTATATTAATTTTTAATATCATTTAAAATAATAAATTATTAGAAATTAAAGAATAAAATAATATATAGGACTAATATTAATATTAATATTATTAATAAAAAATAATTTTATAATAATTATTAAATGAGTGTCATAATTAAATATTTAAAATATTTTTATATGATATTAAATAGCTAATTAATACCATAATTAAAAGATTAAAAATTAAAATAATTTTTATATGATTATATTAAATTCAAATAAAAATAAAAAGCGTATTAAACATTTTAAACATATTAAACGTATATTTATAGGATAATATTAAATTAAATATATTATTTATATTATGTTACATGTTTAAATAAGTCAACATATATAAATTACAGATTATATCATATTAAAATTCGTATCGATATAAATAACTATGAAATAATTTTTTTATAAATATATGTAAATTTTATTATATTATTTTTATATTATATTATTATATCATATTTAAAATTATCTATCATCAACTATTTACAAATTTTTAAAAAGGTAAAATTATTAATATATACATTTTATACATAATTACCCTATCACAAATCAACTGATGAGATGGATCATCAAACACCCGGTGAGTCACATCAAGAACGGTGGCCGTGGATTGTAGAACCAAACCAATTATGAGGATAGGCCGCACCTGCAGTAAAAGAGGAGGGGCTCCGCCGCAGCTCGTGGCTGCACAAGATTCCTTCGTATACGCACACCATATTGTATGACGGTGGGCTCGTACATAGGCAATCCTATTCTCCACAACCACAATCGAACCTTCGTTTCGTCATTTCTACGTCCTCTTCTACCATTTTTTTTAATAATAATCATTTGTATTTAGTATATGTACTAGTATAGGAAAATTATACCTGTATTTTGAGGAAAAAAAAGCTGACTCCGTTTGGTGTATGTTTTAATTTTTATTTATTTTGAAATTTTTATAAAAAATTAAAAATTGGCCAAAAAAATGTTTAAGATACGGAACTTAAATTTGGAATATTCCTTTTTTAATGATTTTGATTTGTAGACTTAAGATATTAATAAAATGTGGCATATTCCTTATTCCACTAAGCGAAGTCTCTATACAACCATCAATTTCTGTCTTTCTCGTTTGTCATCAGATCCCATGGTGTCCAAAAAGTTGGTGCAACAATCAGAAGGGTCTCATATGCCATGACTAATGTTCTTTCTTCTTTGTTCCTAATTTGTCTTTCTTCTGTCGGACTTTTCGGAATTTTATTCAATTGGATTCTTAATTTGGGATTAATTAAATAATGCAAGTATTAACTTTAACTTTATTTCATTCCAAATAATTATTAAGTAAAAATTTTCATATCACTTAGCACAATATTTTTTGGATCTAATATATAATAAAACTTAATTAAACGAATAGACCGTCAATTTCGAACTCTTTTCAATTAAAAATTTTAAAATTTAAAATTCAATTTAAATTCAATTAAATTATAAATATTAATATGTATAATTCATTTATATATTAAAAATTAAAAAAATTAATTAAATTAGTAAGTATTTCAAGTTAATTCGAATCCAAGTAGCTTTTATTATAAGTCTTTTCAAGATCAACCTTAACTCATCTAGCCCAAGCCAAAGCACCCTTCCTCTCCATCAACAAAAGACTTATACCCTTCCACCCTGGAATTTACACGGATTTCCAACATACCCTACAATAAAAAGTACATGTATGTTCAGGTACAATTATCCAAATAATTTCTTCTTGAATTATTTTTTTTCTTGCTTTGTTTAAAGTCAATTTAGAACTAGGGGCGTGAACTTGAGAGATTTTATTTATGCTTTTGCATTTACTGTAACGATAACTTATACCTTACTTCATTCTTGGAATATATATTTTCTTGAGATAGATTAGAGAAAATGAGGATGCAACTTACTTTAAGAACTAGAGAAAACTTTTGTTGATTCTGTTTAATTTCACCACTTCGGATTTACAAACCTCTATAACTTGAATTTTGTAAATTGGATCTGAGAGTGAGTCTTGGAATCTATATTGGGACTTTGGGTTACTGTTCTATACTAATTAGATATAAATTTTTTTTTTCATAATGATTTTCGATACTGTTGTCTTGGTTTTCACTTGAGTTATTTGATCAGATATTGCCCTTGATCGCGTGGACATCTACTGGTCTTTTGTGTTTACTGTTTAGAAATTGTTAGAGTTAGGCCATGTTTTGTATTCAAATTTCTTTCCCAATTTGCAGTGTGCCTTATGCATTATCTATTTTACTCAAATTGGACTATTCAAATCCTGCAACCAATTGCACATTGCTAAGCTTCTTCGTGCCCTTGTTGTGGTTTCGGGGAATGCTCAAAGCATCTTTATCTGCATCAAACTTGTTAATGTTTATGCTTACCTTTACAATGTCTCGTTCTCACGTCACACTTTCGATCATATCCCCATCAAAGATGTCTATGCCTGGAATTTGATGGTTTCTGCTTATGTACACAGTGGTCTTTTTCTGGAAGCTGTACCTCTGGCCTTAGACCAGATTTCTACACTTTTCCTACCATGTAAAGGCTTTTAAAAATCCATTTGATGGAATGAGGATTGATTGCTTGGTAGTTGGTACTAAAATTGGGTTTTGAGTGGGATGTTTGTTAGAAAAAATAAATAATAGAAGATAAACAATAAAAAAAAAATTTTGGCTTTGAAGTGGGAAAAATATTTTCTTAAAGGTAATTATGCTTTTACGATACAACAAAATTTTAAACTCTCCAATTAGAAGCAATGAAAATAATTTTACTAAAAGATTTATTTATAATGAATGAACATATATAAATTTTTATTTAGATGGTTATAGCATTTTATATAATCATAACATTTATGAATAATAATTTATTTATATTCAGATAGTTATGACAATTTATCATATGATAATTATTTTTATTCAAACATAATCATTTAAAACATTGAATAAAATTAATATAAAAATTAATTTTATTCATCAATAATTAAATCTTTCTATCTAATGTGAGATGCATCATATTTTAAATTACCAACAATCCCTCACTAGTTTGGAATATTGGTGCTTAATTTTTATTTTTCACACAAATAAATATTATAAATACAAAAAGTTATCTCTCGATTTAAACTTTCAATTAGTATATATATTTAGAATTCTAATGAAGTTGATAGTGTCCGTAAATTAAACATCAATTCTTAGTGTTAAAATTGAAGATATAACATATATAATACTTATTCATTTTTTTGTAAGAGATTTATAATCGCTTTTAGTATTATTATGTCTATGTACTTATTTTATTCAAAAATATTTACATGAGAGACTTCAATTTTTTTTGTTGAAGTGGTATCACTTTTATATTTATATAGGTAGAGTTCCCATTATGTCTCCCTTGTTTTGGACATTTAAAATTCCATTAAAAGTATAAAAACTCATAATTATAATAGTTTGATATTTTCTTTTTAAACAAGCATCTCTTTAATCTCTTACCTTTTGTAAACAAATTTCATCAATTATAGTAACACAACAGGAACATTTATATTCTAAATTCTTGACTTTATTTGTCTTACTTGTTTTGGCCATCAAACACAAATTGAATTGTACCTTAAATTTTTTTTCTTTATGATTGTTCACAATAAATTTTTTTCATAGAAACCATGCGACAATTTGCCTATTCTATATATAACCAAGACATGATTATTAAATAATCGATCATTCTATTAGAATCTAATTTAATTCAATACTTTATAACAAGTGATAATTCTTTTGATGCATATCAATTCATGTCTTTCTCTTTTATGTTTTCAGGCTATTTTTCATCCTAGTCTTTATAAGTATCGATTTTTCAAATAAATAAAATACAATTCATTAAATTTAATTATGGAGTTAATTTCAGTATATGCATAAATTTATGTAATGTAATCAATATTTTGCATATTGTGCTTTGACTTTATACACTAATGAAATAAATTGTTAACGTGTTTATCTTATTCAGTCAATATTTTTACTAGCAATTATACAAAAAATAAAATACATACCTATAATGAAGATTTTCATGAAAATTAACATTTTGATCCATAGAAACATTAATCATTGGACACCTTGAGCCTCTTTTAATTTTGATCTCCAATTCATGCCAATTTTTTTTCCTTATATCTTTCTTATACGAAATATAAATTTCTTATAATTACCTTTAAATTCTTAGAAAAAATAAATATGAGAAGATAAATAATGGAAAAGAAATTTGACTTTGAGCCATGAAAAACATTTTCTTAAAAGTAATTATGCTTTTAGGATACAATAAAGCTTTAAACTCTCCAATCAGAGTCAGTAAAAATATATATACTTAAAGATTTATTTATAATGAATGAACAGATATAAATTTTTATTCAGATGATTGTAACCTTATGTATAATCATGATTTTTATGAATAATAATTTATTTATATATAAATAGTTGTGATGATTTGTCATATGATAATTATTTATGTTCAAATATAATTACTTAAAATATGAATAAAATTAATAAAAAAAATTAATTTTATTCATCAATAATTAAATCTTTTTATCTAATGTAGGAAACACCACGTTCTAAACTACCAACAATGTCTTTGTTATTGCTTGCTTGATCCATATGTATACTTAGTTCGGAAATGTAGGCTTTGCATGTAAACTATTTGATGACATGCCAGTACGAGATATGGGTTCTTGGAATGCAACGATTTCGGGATACTGTCAAAATGGTAATGCTGCAAAGGCATTAGATGTTCTGAATGAGATGAGATTGGAAGGGTTAACGATGGATTCAGTTACTATAGTTAGCATTCTTCCTTTTGTGCACAATTAGATGATATTTTAAATGGAATGTGATTCATTTAGATGCTGTAAAACGTGAGTCGAAATTTGACTTATTTGTGTCTAATGCTTTGATTAACATGTACGCCAAATCTGGTAAATTGGAGCATGCAGAGAAGGTTTTTGATCACATGGTGGTAAGGGATGTGCTCTCCTGGAACTCGTAATTGCTGCCTATAAGCAGCATGATGATCCAAATAGAGCACTAGCTTTATTCTAAAACATGCAACTGATTGGAACTAGTCCTGATTATCTTACACTGGTGAGTTTATCTTCTATTGTTGCTCAATTAAGTGATTCTCAGTGTGGTAAGTCCGTCCATGAATTTCTCATGAGGAGAGGCTGGATTCTGAAAGGTATCGTATCTTGAAATTCAGTGGTGTACATGTATGCTAAATTGGGCGTTATGGTTTCTGCTCGTGCAGTTTTTGAAGCCCTCCCAGTTAAAGATGTGGTATCTTGGAACACTCTGATCACTGGTTATCCTCAAAATGATTTAGCAAGTGAGGCAATTGAAGCATATGGCGTGATGCAAGAGTAAAAGGAGATAACACCAAACCAAGGACTTGGGTAAGCATTCTACCTGCTTTTTCTAATGTAGGATCCTTGCAACAAGGGATGAGAGTTCATGGGCAATTGATTAAGAACTCTCTCTATTTGGATATCTTTGTGGTTACCTGCCTCATTGACATGTATGGGAAATGTGCTAAATTAGATGATGCTATGTCCTTGTTCTTTGAAGTGCCCAAAATGACTTCTGTCCCCTGGAATGCCATAATATCTTGTCATGGATTTCATGGACATGCCGAGCAAGCTCTGAAGCTACTTAGGAAAATGTCGAGTAGGGGGGCGAAGCCAAACCACATAACTTTTGTATTCAGGTTTGGTTGAAGAGGGTCAATGATGCTTTCATGTGATGCAGGAAGAGTATGGGATTGAGCCTATTTTGAAGCATTATGGCTTCATGGTAGATTTGTTTGGTCGAGTTGGGCATCAAGAAATGGCATATAATTTTATAAAAAACATGCCAGTAAAGCCTGATGCATCAGTTTGGGGTGCCCTCCGTGGTGCTTGTAGAATAAATGGAAACATTAACTTGTGTGCCTTTGCTTCAGGCCGCTTGTTTGAAGTGGACTCAGAGAATGTTGGATACCATGTTCTGTTGTCAAACATCTATGCAAATATTGGGAAATGGGAGGGAGAAGATGAAGTAAGAGCGGTGGCTAGAGAATAGAGATAGGGGATTGTGGAAGACTTCTGGATGGATCTCATCGAGGTGAATAACAAGGTTGAATGCTTCTCAGCATGAATGATGTTTCCATTGAAATCAGCATTCCATGAGTAAAGGTTGTTTTCTTGCAAACTGATTTGGCGACAAATTTTTTTAATAAAAAAGTTCATCATTTTTGCTATTCTAACTTTCCAAGTCTAACTGCCATGCTTTCTTTCTTTCTTTCTTTTCTTGGCATCGTCTCTTGCTTGAGCACCGACCAAGGTGCCAGCTTGGTAGAAATGTCAAGGTCCATTTGCCTATCTGGACCAAGCGTCAAGCCAACATGGAAACACAAAAAAGGGCATATATACAGTTGACTTTATGGTCTGCCATGCTAAACCCAGCCTTCCACACGAAACCGAAATTTGTAAACAATTCAAAAACTAAATATTGATGGACAGCTTTACTTACATGAATTTTGAACGATTTGAGTGGACCCCACATGAATGATTGGGGTGGACCCCAATAATTTAATGATTTTATAAATATAACGCCCCTAAATTAATATAAATTAAACAAAATCCCCCAACATAAATAAAAAAATATTACTGCATAACTTTTTATATATTATATATATACTGAAGTACACGCACCCGAAGAAAAGACGTACCAAGAGAAACGTTTCGAATCTCCCTCCTCCCTCGCCACGATCCCGAAAACCCTAGCCTCCCGGATACAGCTTCTTGCTGCGGCGACTGAACCCAATGTCGAGACGCTACGCGCCTCCGCCACCTCCTCCTCCCTCACTACCACGCCCTTTGTACAAGCAGCGTTCATGGTCTCCTGATGCGGAGCGAGACGAGGCGTGGCTCAAGCGGAAGGAGAGTTATGGCGCGGGGCTCCGCCGTAGCCAGAGCTTCACGAACGATGATTTGAAAGAGCTCAAAGGCTGTATAGAGTTAGGTTTCGGGTTCGAACCGGACTCACCTGAATTGGACCCGAGATTATCCGATACTTTACCCGCTTTGCCTTTTTATTGCGCCGTTAATCGTCAATATAGCGGTAGATTGTCGAGGTCTTCGTCCACGTCCTCGATTGGGTCTTTCAGTGACGCTGGTAGCACTAGCACAATAATTGATCCAGGTAAATTTTAGTATTAAAGTAATTTTCTTATTAAATTCAATCAAATCACGTTGGCGTCGGGGTTCTTAACCGTTTGATTTGAATTTTTGGGTTATAGGCGACGATCCGGAGACAGTTAAGACTAAGTTGCGGCAATGGGCTCAGGTGGTGGCATGTTCGGTGCAGCAATTTTCAGGGGAACCAAATTGATTGCGGCTTCATTTGGACGGTGAGATTGGCCAGTGAAATTAAAAACACTAATAAAAGTTATCGCAGAGGTAGTTGTGATTGAAAAAAAAAAAAATTCGTACTTGTAATTAAAATAATTATTTTTCATGAAAAATTTATGTTAAATGTATTTTATTAGAGTTGATGGTTTAATTTAATTCATGATGTGATAAGTCAATCGCATATTTGATGCGACTCATTTATTTTCTTTGGCTAGTTCTGTATAGAGTCGCCTTACAGTATTTGATGTAGTAATTAAATTTATTTAATATAACTTTAATTTTCTATTGTAATACAGGATTGGGATTTGACTGTAATATAAATTTCGATGATGGGTTTATGTTTTTAATTTATTTTCTTACCATTCCAAGCAATGCAACAACAAAAAATTGCCGGTTTTTTTTATCATGTTTTCTTTGAAGTTTTAACCAGAATGTTCATCAAACAATTGACTCACTAAGGTCAATTTTTTTGGCTTTGAAAGGGATCTTGCATGTCCTTCCTCTATTGTGCATATTTTGAAGAGTTATTGACGAAGAAAGTTTAGGTTTGAATTTTGTTGATAATTATTTATTGAATTATTTTAAATATATAATTTATAATTATTTATTTTAAATTATCAAATATAATATATTTTATTTTGATTTAAGAAATTAAATAGTTTATCTATTTACTTTTAAATTTTTTCTACCAAAAAAAATATATGTTTCGAGAAGTTACAGTTTACCGGCTCCTCTTAAGACAAGATGGAATCCTTGGTTCCTTGAGATTGTGCATATTGTTCTCTATGACGTGATGGTTTAATTTTCTTTTATTTTTTAAATGAAGCTATTCTTGTTTGGCTGGTCAGAAAAAAAAGTCAATTTTATCTTCCAAAGGTAATGACACGTAGAAAAATAGGTCAAGGGTCTCAAAATATTGTATTTTAAAATTAAGAAGGAAATAAAGGTTTCTTATAAAAATTTGACAACGAAAATGTAGCTAAAATTTAAATGTTTTTAATAATATTTTATAAAAAAACATAAGTATTAAATTTTAAAATTTTCCAATGAATTCATGTTTTCTTTGTATTTTTCAAAACGAAAAAAATGAGATATCTCTATTTTGGATAAAATTGTTATTTATTATCCTCGGTGGGTGATGTTGGAGTTGAGTAATCAATCGATTTAATTAATTTAATTTTAAAAAATTAATAATTAATTTAATTAATTTTTATTTAATAAATAATTAAATTGATTAAATATTTTTAAATAATTAATCATAATCGAATAAATCAAAATCGATTTAATTAATTTGATTAAAAAATTAATTAATTATTTTTTTATTATAAATAATTATTTAATTATAAATTTAATTTAATAAAATTTAAATTTAAATATCATTCAAAATAAATTATTAAAAATTTAATAATTTTAATAATATTTTACAAAAAATAAATAAAAATATTTATATTAATTTTTTTATATTTATCGATTTTAAAAATAAAAATTTGATTGAATTAATTAATTTAATTGATTTAAAAAATTAATTATAATCATAATCAAATAAATCAAATTGATTCAATGAAATTCAATTAACTTCAATTGATTTAATCTATTCAAACCGGATTTTACTGCCCAGGTGGTGCTCCCTCCCTTCTTAATGTTCACTTACGTTGAAAGGGACATCATGAGACCGAGCTCCTTCACTGGTGAATCTCGATAATTTTTTATGAAAATAAATTTTGAGATTATATTAAATCGATTTGAAAAATACGCCTAGACCTTTAAAATCTTTCAGAAAAATGTTAAATTCGGGCAAAATCTGAAGTATCTGACCGTATTTAGAAAAAAATTAACTCTACGCGAGTGGCAACAAATTCCTAACCTTGCAAAAAAGCCGCGTGCAGGCAAAGTGCACAGAAATACTAACAGCTGGTGAAGCCCAGTTGCGAGACACCGAATATTCAAATCTGCATTTATTCTTTTGGTTTGTGGAGGCGGAAAGCGAGCAAACAGCGTCAGACAGAAAAATAAATATCTGGTTGACATTGGCCGAAGATATTATCACTCCAGATGACGTGGCATCATCTGACGGTATTGACAGGTGTAAAAGCTTCGCCATGTGGAGCCTTTATTGGCCCCAACGACTCAACACCACCGCCTCTCACTCGATTGTCTCTGCTAAATTGAAGGAATAATTTTCTTTTTCTGTTAAAACAATTTTCACGTTTTTGTTCGATTTGAAAGGAAAAAGAAAAACAATGGGAGATAATCTCCGGCGAAATCTTACTCCGTCTTCGGATCCTCAGGCTTGTTCAAGTGAGTTGACTCGGACGAGCTCGGACTTCTCTGGCTCTGGTGTAACCATTGAGAGCTTCAGAGATCCTACTGCAAATTCAAGACCGGTAATTTCCCTTTCTAATTTATCTTTCACTTTTTTTATTTGAATTATGGCTTTTCATGTGTTATTCTTCATCTATAAATTTTAGATTTTAGTTTTTAGTAATATGATAATTTGAGAATATGTTTTGACTGCAGAACAAATTGTTCATTTTTTTTAATAATGAAGTATCTGTTTTCAGTTAGAAAATCAAATTCGGGAAAAATAGGGAGAAGAGGAGATCTCTTCATTGAAGAAGAAGTTGCAGTGAATATGATTTTTTACATTTTTACTTTTCAGTGATCAGGTTTTGTTGTTAAAATTGAAGATTATAATTAAAGCATTTTAATAAGCTTTCTGTTTGTTCATCTATTTCTTTTTTGGAATAGGCAGTCACAGTCTTTGAGTTCTTTTGAATTGCTTTAAGTTTTGGAATTTAATGATCTTTAACTGAGAATCTCAGTTTTCATAATGCTTAATAATTTGGTTTGATTCACTGTTCTGAAGTAGAGAAATGGAAATTCACAGTAAAATTATAATTAATTTCTTTATTTAGCGCCAATTAACTTCTGGTTGTTTGAATCAATTGTTTAATGGGGGAATCAGTGGTTTAGTACTACAATATCTTGTAGTTTTATATAGATGTTTCTTTGTTTTACCATGAATCTTGCTCTTAGAAGGTCAATCATAGAGCAAAAGTTTTGATGTGTCATATGCTCATACTTGAGATATTTGTGGTGATCAAAATTGTTAGAAGCAAATCCTACTGAAATGACTAGGAGAATTCTGTCCTCAGCGTTAATGAAATATGTGATGCTGATAATCTCAAAGAATTGCCGGCAAAGCAAACGGGATGAGCTTAAAACAGGGATTTTCTGTCAGGCTGTGATTTCTAGCACACCAAATAGAGCCTAAGAGAACATAGCAACCCTTCGTCCCATCTACTGCATGCTGGAAATATGATGATATTGATAATCGAGGTGGCTTACTTTGTTAATTTGGATTTCATTTTTCTTTTTCTTTCTAAAAGAATATTTAATTTTTAATTATTTAATAGTGGTAGCAGGTTTTAAAGTTCTATTTTTTTATTTTATTAAGATAGAATTGGCTAGATTTTTGTTCGATATTGGTCACTGCTAGTTTCTGTATATATTATAATCCATCGTCCTGTTCTTTTTTGTTTTGGTGACTTCTTTAAAGAGAAATCTTAATTTTACATTATACATTTACCTTTGGACAAGTATCTCATCTTTTCTTAACAGGTATGCAACTAAAATTGTAGATTGAGAACAAGGATTAGGTGGATGATCTGGAATATTCCACATTCTTGTTATATGATATTAATCTTGAAGATATACTGAGGTTAAGATGCAAGATTTTTGGGAAACTAGCCTATATGTCATTCTCTTAGCCCAAGGCTAAGCATTTGGATTCAAAATGTGTATTAAGACACCCTTAGTGGAAGAAGAGACTGTTCAGTTCAATTGAGTGATTATTAAATTTGTTTTACTTGATTTATCTCCTATCAAATCCCTCCCCCCTTGCTATTTATATGAATCATTATGTTGTTATGGGGATATGCTGTTTTCCCTTTTGAGAAAGATAAAGTATGTACTTGTTGTTTATGGCCATTGGGATCTAGTTCCCTCTAGATTTACAGCATGCTCTGGTTCCCTCTATTTAAGTACAAAGCCTCCATTTCCCTAATTAATTTAGTGTAGGATGGAATTCTGCTGGAGGTGATCAGGTTCCCCATTCAATGCCTCAAAAATGTCTTGTTCATTCTTTGATTGTTATCAATATATTTCTCATGACCAGCTTTAAGTGTTTAGTCATGTCCAACTTGCTTATGTAGTTTTTAGTACTGCAATCCCTGATTCCTTTGGTTAGTATAGCAATTTCCTCTTGCACTAGCTAGTCTTCCAACCTAGGCTTAAGTTCAGCACCTTTACTATCTGTTTGCCTATAATAAGATCTATCCGAGAAATCCAAAAAGGTGGGGACGATTTGGTAGAATCTGGCAGAATGATCCTTTGGCTACTTGAAGTCACTGTGGAGTGGATGGTAAGTTACAGATGTCCTCTTGCTGTAGGAAACTCCTTTTTCTTTGTTAGTTAGTCTTATGTAAGTGGTTAAATTTTTTCCCCTGCAATACATGGTTTTCAATTTTTCTCTTTATTGTTAGAGCTCTCTTGTCCTCGTGTGTTCAGCTTTAATCTTTTCCTTTGTGATTTTAATTTTTAACTTAGCAGGGTCAAACTATGGTTTGGACAAATGAGAAGCATAACTTATATCTTGATTTCTTAGAAGCATCATTTGTTAAGCAGTTGCATTGTTCTACAAGTTTGTGTGGCCTTCACCCACAAGGGGAAATGTGGGAACCATATCCAACCCCAGAACTGCCAGCCGAAGGACAAAATTCTTCTCATCAGGTCAGAGACTTAATCTGCTTATCATCTTCTCCATAAGGTGTTATCTCAATTAATTGCCTTGCTTCAATAAGTTATCTTGATTATCTTTTCAGTTTTCGGTTCTACTAGATGGCGGCTGCCAGAAGATAAACTATAAGAGCAATGACCCTTTGTTGGACAGCACTGCTGATTCTTGTGATATCCTGGGAAGTCCATGGTTATATCATTTTACAATTGCAGGGAAAAGCAGCTCAGAAACATTTCCTGTTTCAAGAGAAACTGTGGTTCCCAATGATGAAATCTGCTTGAGAAGTAATACGAACCTCTCTTGCAAATCAGCAAGAAGTTCAAAGCAGCATCCCATATTTCATTCCTGCAATCACAGCTTAGGTAGCTGCACCAGTGGTAAATATAATCAATCCTCAATCTGCTAGCATGTTTTCCTCTTCATTTTTTTCTTTATTCACATTTGCGATGAGTTTCCCTATTCTGATCTAACTCGTGGATACTTTTAACCTATGCATTGTACTTTCACATGAACATGCACCATTTTCCTGGAGATTTATGCAAACAAACATGTTTTCTTCTCCTGATATTCTTTTGATGGAAATGTTTCATGAATGAGCCTTTACGGCTATGTGACTGGTTTAACACTGGTGAAGGCCTGTCAGTTTGGGCTCTCTCTCTCTGTGTCTAAACTTCACATGATTGGTGCAAGCTACTTGATCTTTCTAAAGTAAAGTCTTATGAATAGTTGCCATCGTACTGCAAGGCATCCAAATTTTACATTGAATGCACAGCTTTTTGATATCTGCTTGGATTTTTGTTGTTTGTTACTACTAGAGATAATGATGAATACTGGAGAAGGACTTGCAGAGTATGTTATTTTTTGGAGTAGAATGAATCGGATGAAGTGCTGGTTTGGCTGGGCAGCACAATCGGTGGGGACTGGGGAGACCCACCACACCAAACCCCAGTTTCTCACTGGACCCTATCCAAGCAGACTTGAAGTGGAGAGATGCCATGTGGGGAATTGTGTTTCAGTAAGCTGAAAGGGACATAATGAATTGACCAGTTTTGCAGTACTAAGTTGAATGGAAAATTTTATAAAATGGTCTTCAGAGGAGTCCTCTTTATCTACTAAGAGCTGGGCAACAACATCTCCATAAGTTCAACTTATAGGGAGGATATTGAGCCTATACAAGAAAAGCCAGGATATATATGAAGTGTTTAGTAAAAGCAGCACCTACCTAGATTATTAGATGGTTTGGTCATCTCTTAAAATGTTTTGTTAAATAAGAATTATTAGATTGAGATCACATGAGTTGAAGTGCTAAAAAAGATTTGGAGTTTGTGAGAAAATCATGCAAGGGACTTGTGATTAAGCATTTCTAATTCCTTGTACAGTAGCCAGTACCTGTTGGCTATTCCTTTATTTTTGATATATTTTTTCTTGTTTTCTGTGACTTCAGAATTTCTCACCATCTGGATACTTTTTCTTTGCTAGTTTTTGAGAGAACTTGTTTTATATTCTTTTGTTTGCCCCGAGAGAAAATTTTCAACATTCTTTTTTGGGTTAATGTGGATTGGTGGCTGTATTTTTTGTTTAACGAAAGTATTTGGTCTTTTATAGAGGTCTCAGATCAGAATTTTGTGGAAGAAGGCCAAGGAGAAAAGACCAGCTGTGTGTCTGGGACAAAACGCTTGAAGATGATGGCAATGCTTGATTCTTCAAACAACAGTCAAGTAATGTTAAAATTTAACTTTATGTCTGCCACTTCTTCACAAGATCTACGTTATTTGAGATAATGTTTTTTGTTGGAATCTCACTTTTATTATCCATGAAACTCTTGTTCAGGTTGTGCCACATGGAAAATTACCTACGGTAGATGACTCAATCATGAGTAATGCATCTGCAAAAAGAGGGAAAAAGAAATTGCTGTCGGAGCACCCTGAGAGCTTCTCCTGCCCAAAGTCTGACATACATTACTTTCTAAGGGAGAGTTAGATGGCTACTTCGAACCAAAATCACTGATACATGTTTGCCTCAAGATAGGAGACAAATTCAGCCGGTTTGCACCCAGTGCCTGTTCAAAGAAGAATGCTGGGAGAGAATGCAGTACCAAGAGTTGATTTCTGGTGATCGTTTTGCTAATGGCTATACTACTTGGTGGGCACGGCATGGTGATTGTGCAGTCAGAAGATATGGAATAGATTTAAGGCGGACTTTTTGTGTTCTTATTCCTCTTTGTTTATGAATCTGCAAGCATTTCATTTTGCTTATAACTAAAATTGCATGCTAGCTAACTTCTGTGGGGTATCTGAACTGGTTGGCTATCAGGGATCTGTTTGTACTTCAGATAGGCACAATGAATAGATGTAGAAGATGCGGAATGCAATTTACATCTGATAGGCGATAGCAGGGGTGGTGTTTAGGAGTTATCGGTGATGTAAATCCTGGGTTTCTAACCTGTATTTTTCTCCACATTTATCATAGTTCCAATTATTTTTGAGGTAATACATATAAATTCAGAATCTTGATGACATGTTGTAAATGTAAAGACAATATAATCTTAATTTTGCCTAAAAGCAATTGAAATTCCTATGCCGGTTTGCTCCAAGTATTTCTTATCTTGAATTTAGCTGGGGTCCAGCTCGAGGGTAAACCATTTAAAGCTGGGGTCCTGGTGATTAGTGATCCTTAACGTCTTTTTTGTGCCCTTGAAGATAAAGTTAATAAGGGGAATCTTTGAAGAATGATCCTTCTTATCTCCTTTGGGTTTTTAAAATATTCGTATAACATGCAGTTTCCTAGTATATGGACATTGGACAACAATCATAGAGAGACAAATGTAAAATGTTGAATGAGAGAAAAGGAAATATGGGCCCAAAAGCAAGAAAGCCAAAGCCAGTGAAAGGTTGAAGTGCAAATCATTTGTGGTGTGGTTGGATTCGTTAAAAGAGGGGAAGGATTGTTTGACTTTAAGCCACATTTTTTTTTCTATTGAAACCAAAAAAGAAAGTTAGATCTGAACTAGTGGCGGCGATTGAAGCTAGTGACTCTTGGCTCATTTTAAAGGTCAAAATAAACTTTCCCTTCCCCCATTCGAAACGAAATGAGTGGGTCATCCTCAGTTATTTTGTCCGTACATATGCAACTTTTTCCAATTTATTTTCCCATTTTTTATGTTAATATATCTTTGGGTAAGAAAAAAAATCAAAGGGTTTGCTTCATTTCAAGTCATGTAAGAATGGAGAAGAAAATCTGGTGGAATGGTGAGATTACTGTTACTTTTGCAGTTAAATAATTAGTCTATATGTGATTTTTTTAATATATATATTTTTAAATAACCTATTTTAATATTCTAATGTCAGAAGTTAAATGGACAATTAATCAAATTCGTGAAAACAAAATTCATTTTTGGCTCGGATGAATCTTGGTTATACCTTAATGCGGAAACCGGAGGCCGAACCCATCGGCCGTAAGCTGTATGGTTTCCACGGTTCGAATAAGAAACACAAAAGCCAATCAAAAACTTGTAGCAAGATTTTAAACCCATTAATTATCCTATTCCTCAACTCTTTTCTGAAACATATGTACCGAATCCTACGTCAATAAAAAAAAGAGAATGATTTTGAGCTTATAATCATAAGTTTTACCACTAACGTGTTTTTGATTGAAAATTTAAATTTTTTTCATCTCAAAATACTTATCATATATTAATTTTTACGAAATTTAAAAAAAAATGATTTTAATATATTTAATATTAAAATTTAAGTTTTTGTTTATAAAATTAAAGTTTTATGATTTTTAATATCAAAAAATAAAAAAATCATAAAAAAATATAAAAATATAAAATTTTCTTCTTTAAATGAAAGAATTAGTACAATAATTGAGTAAGAGAGACTGTTATCAATCTCATATTAATAAAAAGAAATTTTGGTTTATAAATCAGGAATTTTTTTCACTTAATAAATACTTCTTTTAAACTGAGAACATATATCCCTAATAAAAATTAAAAGAAAAAATGAAAAATAAAATAAGAAATCGCATCTCGGTAATCCTCATTTCAACTAAATTTAGAAAGATTAAAAAGTTGGGCTAAATTGATAGGAATAGCAGTAGAAGATAATATTAGTTAGTATTTAAAGTAAAAGACAAACGAACTGTAATGTTTCTCATCTCCTTCCTCCAATGGACTACTAACTAAACTGACCCTTTACTCCTTCCAAAAGCCAAAAGTCACCTCTTCACTTCTCTTTAAAGTCCCCTTCTTTCCATTACAAAAATGTTCAAACGCTTCTCTCCCTTCGCTTCACTTTCCGCCACCAGAATTCTTGCTGTTCCAAACTGTTTGCATCTGATCTGTTTCAACTTTTCAAACAGCTATCCCAAATGTCTTCCTTTGCAGTTCGTTTCGTTGCACCGCTAGTATTGCCATCTACTTCCTCTTCCAGTCCTAAAACATGGGTTCTTGCCTCCCCCACGACAGCACTAGCATCAGTTGAGGTTGATGCTGGGAGGTTGGAGCCAAGAGTGGAAGAGAGAGATGGGTACTTTGTGTTGAAAGAGAAGTTTAGAGAAGGCATCAACCCTCAGGAGAAAGTAAAGATTGAGAAAGACCCCATGAAGCTTTTCATCGAAGGAGGGATTGAAGAACTTGCTAAGATGTCATTTGAGGAAATTGATAAGGCTAAGGATACAAAGGATGATATTGATGTCAGACTTAAGTGGCTTGGTTTGTTCCATCGTAGGAAGCATCAGTGTAAGTTTAACTACGTCTCTATTGTTTCATTTGGATTTTGGTTTTTAATCTGAATTTTCTTAGATGTTCTTTTTTGACGTTCGGTCAGATCGGTTCCTTATAACTTCTAATTCTCTGTTTTTCTAACAACTACAAGAAAGAGTTAAAACTGACTACAAATTCCTCTTTCTCGTCTTATTATGAGATTTCAAGTAAATATTAACCAGGGAATTGGGAGATTTACATGATTCTTATGATTAAATTTACAGGACATAATATTGCTGTGATTTTACAAAATTGAGGTATAATTTTGTTGTTGAAATTTTCTTCTATTATTGGTGGCAGATGGTAGATTTATGATGAGACTGAAGTTACCAAATGGTGTAACGACAAGTGCCCAAACACGATATCTAGCTAGTGTGATAAGGAAATATGGGAAGGATGGGTGTGCTGATGTGACGACCAGACAAAACTGGCAAATTCGGGGAGTGGTGCTGCCTGATGTGCCAGAAATACTCAAGAGTCTGGAAGGAGTAGGCTTGACAAGTCTGCAGAGTGGCATGGACAATGTGAGAAACCCTGTTGGCAGTCCTCTTGCTGGCATTGACCAAGAAGAGATTGTCGATACTCGTCCTTACACCAACTTGTTATCCCAATTCATTACCGCCAATTCCCGTGGCAATCCAACCATCTCTAACTTGTAAGTTTCTAAACACAGCCATGATTCCAGGAAACTATGTTTCTGTCATTTATTGAGAAAATATTGTTTCTGATTTTGGACATTATGTTTCGTTTGAACAGGCCAAGGAAGTGGAATGTTTGTGTTGTGGGGTCTCATGATCTTTATGAACATCCCCATATCAACGATCTTGCTTACATGCCTGCCACAAAAGATGGACGATTTGGGTTCAACTTGCTGGTAGGTGGGTTCTTTAGTCCCAAGAGATGTGAAGAGGCCATTCCTCTTGATGCTTGGGTCTCAGCGGATGATGTGATCCCAGTGTGCAAAGCTGTGCTGGAAGCCTACAGGGATCTTGGCTTCAGGGGCAATAGACAGAAGACAAGAATGATGTGGCTGATTGATGAACTAGTGAGTAACACCCTTTTGCTTAATTATTATGTAGAGAATAAGTTTGCTTTATTTCCTTTTTTTGTTTTTATATTCGATTGTTTCATGGATCCTCTGATCATTTCAAAAAATTTGTTAAAATGCAGGGCATTGAAGTATTCAGATCAGAGATAGTCAAGAGAATGCCTCAAAAAGTGTTAGAGAGAGCATCTTCTGAAGACCTGGTTCAAAAGCAATGGGAAAGGAGAAACTACCTTGGTGTCCATCCGCAGAAACAAGAAGGTTTTAGCTATGTTGGTCTTCACATTCCAGTTGGTCGAGTCCAAGCAGATGACATGGATGAATTAGCTCGGTTAGCTGACAAATATGGCTCAGGCGAACTCAGGCTTACCGTGGAGCAAAACATCATAATTCCAAACGTTGAGAACTCGAAATTAGAAGCCTTGCTTAAAGAGCCTCTACTGAAAGGTAGGTTTTCACCAGAACCAAGTATTCTCATGAAAGGGTTAGTGGCTTGTACTGGAAACCAATTTTGTGGGCAAGCCATTATTGAGACAAAGGCTAGAGCCTTGAAGGTGACTGAGGAGGTGGAACGGCTAGTGTCAGTGACCCGGCCGGTGAGGATGCACTGGACGGGTTGTCCTAATACTTGTGGACAGGTTCAAGTTGCTGATATTGGTTTCATGGGGTGCATGGCAAGGGATGAGAATGGAAAACCTTGTGAAGGGGCAGATATCTTCCTGGGAGGGAGAATTGGAAGTGACTCACATTTGGGAGAAGTATATAAGAAGGCTGTTCCTTGTAAGAACTTGGTACCTGTAGTTGTTGATATTTTGGTGGAACACTTTGGTGCTGTCCCTAGAGAGAGGGAAGAAGGGGAAGATTGATCCAATCAAGTTCATTCATTACTTTTAGATTTTTTTTTTCCAAATTGGAGGATTTAAAAGACACCTGGAGGACTAATTTGGACAACATTGATCAATAGGATGATGAGTTTTGTTTTGTCTGATCATAGTATATAACATTTTGAGCATATGTATCAAAATAAACTTATTGGTAATATATTTTCGGTTGAATACTTGTTTTTTGAATAAATCTTGATCACCCTGTTCTAGGAGCAGATTAAGCTCTTTTCAGTGGAGAGATAGACCTTCAACCCAATATCCAAGGAAGCCATGAACAATTATTTTCTCCTTCTTTAGGACTTTTACGAGAAAATTGGAAGGAAGAGCCCTTAGTCAGTTATTTATATGGATTCGGATTGGGATATTGCCCTAACTCCCAAGCAAGTCTGTTTCTTTTTTTTTATTATTATTATTAAATGGATTCTTGGTGGGCTTTCTCATTGGGGTAGGATGCAGTACATTACCAGGCCGAGATAAGGCTTCCAAGCAATTCATATGGCCTCACGGGCTCACCGTCAGGATTCCCATCAAATGGTTTCTAAAGGGACTATTAGGAAACAAAAAATAATGATTTTTTTTCTTGTAATCCTTCTTATGATCATTTTCATTTGATTTGAGAATCTGCATCTTAATTCTGACAATTATGTCTTAATATGATTTTAGAAAAAATAAGCTACCACTTCACCCATTGGGTTAGAACGGATTTTTGTTTGTATCGAATCTGATTTGATAATAAAATAAATTTTTTATATTTAAATTTGACTTAATTTGTATATATTTAAATTCGTAATTGATTTAACTTAAAATTAATAAAATATTATTTTTTACATATAAAATATTATTTAATATTATTTTTAAATATAAATATATAAAAATTTAAATTTAAATAAATATATATACCTAATCAAGATATGACAAGATTGCATAAACCTGCCCTTTAGTATCTAATTAGATCGAAATTTGTTGGATATAAATTGGATTGTCAACCTTAAACGAAATCAACCATCTCATATGAGATCATGAATTAGTGAATCCCAAATGAGAGGATGAACTTGTTAACAAACTAAATAGATTTGCGGTATTGACAATGTTGTCGACAAAGACATCTGATTCAGATATTCAACTGGTAACCACCCCACAACTTGCTCCTTTGCTTGATAAGTTAGAATCAAAGAGCTCACAAATTGTCAATTGCACATTAATGAAAGAACAAGACATGACCAGAAGAAAAAAAATAGCCATTCTCTGGAACTTGAATGTAGTCTACTCTATTGCTGTCCATTGTGACCTTATACAAATGGAAGCCACAAAAAAATGCAACAAGACTCAGTTTACAGTTAAACATTTTTGTAGATCAAGAATTAGCCAGCCTTACTAAGGAATGATAATAAAATGATAGATCAAGTAAAACCTATTGTCCCCGCAGCAGCTCCTGAACATTTCAGATCACATTTTTAATAACTCATTATGATTCATTGTTTGCTTACATTTGTCATCAATCTTTATTTACTGCATTCTTACGAAATTTCCCAGTATAGTGAAACTGAAGTTCATTGCCTTCTGTATTCACATCCTTAAAGAATAGTAATGAATTTTACAAAGATAAGAAAAACCTGATTGAAAAGCATATCTAATTGATGATGATCATAATTGCAACTTCTTAATGCATAATTAACAAGATAATTAATATGTAAACTTTGTTTTGAATGAAAAAAAGCATGATTTGTTGGTGAATTGTTGAACTCTTAATTCTAGTGATAGGCTTAAATTTAATCCAATGTATAAGAAGAAAACCTTTCGTGTCTGAGGCCGCTGCCATTTCAGTGTTAGCTCGTCTGCAATGAGTCGTGGAGATCAGGAGTAAATCCATTTCTTTGTCCTTAGTTACAAGTGACAGCATTTCAAGTGATGGATTAACTTTATTATTTTATTAGTGTTATAACTGATTAAAAATACCAAAAAAAAATGATAAAAAATATTGTACAAAACATTTCAATTTTTAATTATTTTTGGATCAAATTATGAATAGAATAAAATTACATTCTTTAAAAATTGTGGGTGGTAAATTTGATTTATTATCTTAAATATAATGATAAATTTAAACATTATTTTGCACCTTTTTTAGCCAATAAAAAAAATTCTAACTTTGCAAAAGCTAAACGATTACTAATTCAAATAAATAGCCATTGTAAAAGTAGTACTACTACAAGTGTTAACAATATACCATCAGCTTGGCCAACAAGATAATCTCAATATATGTAGTAATCTTATTTCAATATACGATTGCAAAGTGAACTTCCAAATTGGTCCCATAGACTAGAACAATACCAAGAAAAACAGCAAAATCGCATAGGTTGTGTCCTAATGCTATGTTGCAGGGACCAACATGAGGGCCTGTTGTTCCAATGTAATTACATTGCAAAAAAATAAATAAATAACTTGGACACAGAATAGAAATAACCTGGATTTTATCTCTCACTTCCTATCACGATCAAAATTGAAGATGATGGATGGCATGGGGTCAAGCAATGAGGGTGGGTTGGGGTTGAAAGAGTCTCACATTCAGTCGTGATATTATTGATTACCTGCCGTATGTTCCAAAAATGGAATCGGAGGCCAAAGTGAAAAGGGTCACTGCTGGGTTAATTCTTGGTGGATATGGCCATCATTAAGGGTATCTGGAAGCACTTTCTCTTCTGTTTGTTTCTTTTGATAATTCCAGATTTTCTGGATTTTGATTCTCCCCCTACCTATCTTTAATTACCTTTTTTTTTCTTCACACCCCCCCTCAGCTTAATTACCCTGCCACACCCCTTTCACCTTTTGCCTCTATTTGAAATTTTGCTCTAGGATGGACCTAAGTCGACATTGACCATCAATTCATGTTAATTTTACAAAAGCTATATGAGCAAGTGCAATGCATACAAGCTTGTTACGTGGGACAAATAAATTGGAACTAGCAAAGTTGTAACTCGTGCTGATCATGTTCTATGAACGCAAACAATAATCCAGCAAGTCTCATTTTGGGAAACTAATTACGGGAGAAGAGAATCTACTTAGAAAGACGAGTGTGAGAGAGAAAGAAATTCATTGCTTTTTTTTTTAAAAAAAAGTTTTCATTCATAAGCATAGCGTCTGCATCATGTCACAGCTTTGTTTTTGTGGATATTGTGAGCTAGATTTGAGTTGATTAAAGTAGAAGGAATAGTGCATTTTGGAAATGTTTTTCTCTAGGGAGGGAGGGGGGAGGATTTTGTTCAAGTGGTAGGTCACAGTATGGAGAGGAAAAGCTGTACTTATGTTGAAATTATTAAAACTGAGAGGAATAGTTCAGTACCGTCCTGCTCTTGCCTTTCTCTTCAGCAGTCTCAATTGGAAATCTAGTTGAAGATTTTCAATCTCGTACCTATAGTAAGGCTACATGTCCAAAATGTGCTCGAGGTAAACATAGGCATGCATAATTGCAAGCGTGGAGAAAGAGAACAGAAAGAAGAATATGAAGCACTCCCCTGATCTCCTGGATATGATTTTATTTGGCCGTTTGTGATTCGAATTTCTGAATATCTTACACAAAAAGGACCCCAAAGATGATGAATCCATTGAATTGCGTATGCCTATCTGCAGCCGCAAAGTTCTTTGTTATCAATTCATAAAAGCTTTACAGCTTCACCGATATATGTATAATCTATCTATAAGAGTGAACTATCCCTCTCACTTTTAACTTGAAATGGGACATGCAACAGGTAAAGCAATTATACAAGTACCTAAGGAATAATTCAATTTTCCATGGCTGCATAATTGTTCATGTCAAAAGGGATGTTGCAAGATCATGCCTGGTTAAGTTTAGAAAGAAATTTGGATTATTTGTCTGATTAGCTAAGCAAATAAAGAATTACAACAATAGGCTATCTGTGCTTTTGGCCTAAACATGTTTTTGAGTTTGAAGTGCATAAATTTTCTTCCACCTATATATAATTTTAGCTTTTGCCAAAATTCGATGCCCCACTAGTCTTGTACAAGGGTCAGATTATTCGTCTAAACTTGAAAATTCGTTCAAATTTTAAGAGGATTTGATAAAAAATTAAAATTCGTTAAACGAAATTTTTATATAATTTTTAAATCCGTTTAAATTTCGGACAACACCTTGGACAAAATATTTGGATCTCAAGTCTGACCCGAATTAACATATATATAATTCACACACACATATATATATATATAATAAAAATCATATATATTTTATTAATTAAATTTAATAAAATATATATGATTTTTATTTTTAACTTATATATATGTCAATTGAATATAATCTTATTAAAATTAATTTAATTATTTTTTAATTTTTTATTATATAAATTAAATTTAATAGATGTGATTGAAATTTATTTTTTAAATTTGGATTGAGTTTAGAAGAAATACAACAATCTAACTATTCAAATACAAGGAATCATTTTTTTTTTTTCGTATTACCATATGATTGATTAATCTATGTTAGTTGTCACATAATTTTTATTCTTATGAGTGTTTCTTTTCAACTTTTAGTTAAATTTTTTAAATATATACTTGTAAAAACAAATTTTCACAATGTCGGCAAATGACAACAACAGAAAAAAAAGTAGCAAAAACTTACAATAGATGCCAAGTTGCTAACTCACAAGTCATGATCCAAAAATGAAAAACCCAAGAAAAATGATTTTCAGGCAATATATATATATATATATATTATGTGATACATTGACAATAAAATTTTTTAATTTCATAAACGAAGTTTAAATAATGATACATGTCCTCATTTATTTTTTAAATTAATTTTTTTAATATATAAAAAAATATATGTCATTATTTTATTTTCGTTTGTAAAATTAAAAACTCGATTGTCAATGTATCAAATAATTTTATATATATATATATATATATCAATTCTTAAAAAAAAAAAAAAAAAAAAAGCTTTGTAGAGAGCGAGCAGTGAGCAATTCATGACCTCAGGGTGACAAAGTTTTAGGGGAAAGTGGCATTTTGGACCACAGTTTTAGCATTGTTTTCAGATAAGATTTTTACTTTAAAGCAAAACTAGAAAATTCCCTTTGCTTTGTCCGGATCATAAATTTCTTTTATTTTGATGAAATATATATTTTTGAAAATTTTATCTTCATAAAATAATAATCGATTAGTGAAATATTTAATTTTTTTAAAAAATTTTTAATTATTTAAAATCATAATAATTTTATATAAAATAAAATTATGATCTAAATATGTTTAATAGTATGTATATATGATTTTCATTTATTCTAAATTTTTTATAATTACTTGAATTTAATTCTCAAATTAAAAAAATATATATGCATTTATTAACTTTGAAAAATTAATCCATTATTATTTTATTATAAATTTATTAGTTTATTATAATATATAATGTTTTCATTCATTTATTTATTTTTAAGGCAATCAAAGATATATAGATTAAAACTTAGAAAATGATATTTTTTGTGTCCAAAACATGACAAAACAAAATGTTCATTGAACTCAAAGTTTTAGCACAAATAAAACTATAGTTTCACTTCCAGTCCATTTCCCCTAACAATAATGATATTTTCCTAATTGACCTCTGAAACCATTATTAATGTCAACACTTGATTTTAAAATTTGAGGAAAAGGATAACTTTAATAGTTTGTATAAATGTGTTTTCAAGTTAATCCATAAATGCTTTTCCCTTTTT